ACGCGGGGATTGCTACGTCTCGGGACGGCGTGTATGTGGCTCAGTCGGTCACTGATGACTTTGCCAATGGTATTAAGGAGGGCCTTAGAACTTTTAAGTTTTTGGACCGGTTTCCCGTGGATCATTAGGCGCGAGGAGAAGAAAGGTGGAAATGAGACCGAAGTCTGACTATTTTAACTCGAGCTCTCGATCGGTGACTTGAGAGTTGCCCTGCTTTTCTGTCAATACTGTGCTCTGTACTAGTGTAGTACTATTCGTACAAATACTACAAATACCCCATCTCTGAGGCAAATCCGTCTTCTTGTAAAGCTTTCACACTTTCCTTATTAGCTAATACCATTCACCTGAGCTCTGTCTAAGACCAGGGTGACTGGCACTTGACTGACGGGCTAAAGCCGGATATTTGTGCGGGGTGACCAGAACTCTCCAGAAACTCTCTTTGGGTTTCTTTGGTTACGAAATATTCTGTACACACGCACCCCAAGAGCTGATGATGAAAGAGGCTGCTGGCCCCTGTTTCTATCGTCTAAGTTGCTCTTTTGGGTCCAGAAAGTTCAAAAACGTTGATGAGGCTTTTTTTTTTTCCGGTTCCCACTTCCAAGCCCTCCACTTTCTCAACTCCCGGTCTAGCTGGTTCACGGATTGCCGTGTCTGCCACTCAACTCTAAAGAACGGGACCGTCCCGTAGGACTGTATGGCTTGCGGTTACCCCGCAGAAACAATCTTGCTATGTATGTACTTGCTAGGCTGGGATCAATTCTTATTATAGTTTACGACCAAGTCACGGTAGGCCACTAGATCTTAGAAATTAGATTGCACACAAAGTTTGCTGGATACGACGTTGGGGAAGTTCAGAAAGTCTGTGCGTCATCCAGGCATTCTGATTCCTGAAATCTCGGGGTGTTCCTGGGCTGTGACGTGAGCAACCCGCGTTGATTCGGGGACACGGGAACCCGTCCGGGGCACCCAGTCAGCCAGCATGGGGATCGACATTCAGTCTTTCCGGTATCGGATACGAGTGTGGAGAAGAAGAGAGAAGAAAACCGTTAACCAACCAGCTTGTTTTGTGCTTCCTTCCTCAGTGTGGCGGGCTTCTTTTGTTATTTAAGCAGGATGGAACCTGCTCGTGTTTAATTATAAGAGTGCACGCTGACTTTCAAAAAGTCTTTGCACAGGATCCTTTTTCGGGCTGATTTCACTGCCCTGAGAGGCTATCCAGGATGCTTTCCAAGGTGAGCACGCCGTCTGCTCTTTCAGTCAGCATCAATCAATGTAAGCTTACCAGATTGACAGAACTTGGCGACGTGGGTGTCACTACTCGCGTGTCTCCCCGCAACGATCGGCTTACCGAACAATAATGGCCGGATTGCAAGGAGCTTGAAGAGACATGGCGGTCATGGACAAAAACAAGTTGACACTAATTCGTCGCATGTCTACGATACTAGATTCCCTGGTGTGACCTGGGATGATGATCATTGGCTGCTCTCGACTACTACTTTGGATCAGGGCCACTACCAATCACGCGGTTCCATTGCTAATGGGTATCTCGGTATCAACGTTGCGAGTGTCGGCCCATTCTTCGAATTGGACGTTCCAGTTGGCGGCGACGTGATTAACGGCTGGCCTCTGTACTCCAGAAGACAGACCTTTGCGACTATTGCTGGGTTTTTTGACTATCAGCCAGCCACAAATGGTTCTAACTTTCCCTGGCTCAATCAGTACGGGGGTGAGAGCGTGATTAGCGGTATCCCACATTGGAGTGGTCTGATTCTCGACCTCGGGAACGGCACTTATCTCGATGCTACCGTGGACAACAAGACCATCACCGATTTCCGATCCACGTACGATTTCAAGTCCGGAGTTTTGTCTTGGTCGTACACTTGGACTCCTACATGTAACAAGGGTTCTTTCAACATCACGTACCGGCTGTTTGCTCATAAGCTGCATGTCAACCAAGCCGTGGTGGATATGGAGATCACCCCTTCCCAGGGGTCTCAGGCGACAGTGGTCAACGTCATTGATGGTTACTCGGCTGTCCGTACCGATTTCGTGGAATCAGGCCAAGACAATGGAGCTATCTTCTCGGCTGTGCGGCCCTGGGGGATCTCAAATGTCACAGCCTATGTCTACACGAATTTGACTGCCTCTGCTGGCGTGGATCTGTCTTCCCGAGCTCTTGTCAACGACAAGCCCTATGTCCACAGCAATGAATCATCCATTGCGCAGGCTGTCAATGTCAAGTTCTCTGCCAATGAGACCATCCGGATCACCAAGTTCGTTGGCGCTGCGTCGTCGGACGCATTCCCTAACCCCCAACAGACGGCAAAGCAAGCGGTGTCTGCGGCAATGGGAGCCGGCTACATGGGATCGCTGCAGTCGCACGTGGCAGAGTGGGCTAGCATTCTCCTGGACGGTTCGGTAGACAGCTTTGTCGACCCTGCCACCGGAAAATTGCCGGATGATGAGCACATCCTCAACTCCCAGATCATCGCGGTCGCAAACACGTACTACCTTCTGCAGAATACCGTGGGCAAGAATGCCATCAAGGCTGTTTCCGGAGCTCCAGTCAATGTCAACAGCATCTCCGTCGGTGGTTTGACCTCTGATTCGTATGCGGGCCTGGTTTTCTGGGATGCCGATGTCTGGATGCAGCCAGGTCTGGTGGCATCTCACCCCGAGGCTGCGCAGAGAGTGACCAATTACCGAACAAAGCTGTACCCACAGGCACTAGAGAATATCAACACTGCCTTTACAAGCTCGAAGAACCAGACCTCCTTCTCCCCTTCGGCAGCCATCTATCCTTGGACAAGTGGTCGCTTCGGTAACTGTACAGGTACTGGTCCTTGCTGGGACTACCAGTATCACTTGGACGGCGATATCGGGCTTTCCCTGATGTATCAATGGATTGCCAGTGGCGACACACAGACTTTCCGCGAGCAGCATTTTCCCATCTACGACTCCATTGCCACCATGTATTCGAACATTGTTCAGCGCAATGGTTCGTCCTGGACGCTGACCAATATGACTGATCCGGTACGTTTGACTGTCCGGGTGTCTAGCTCCAATCTAATCGATTTTTCTAGGATGAATATGCCAACCACGTTGATGGCGGTGGCTTCACGATGCCGCTTATCTCCGAGACACTCGGTTACGCCAATTCCTTCCGGAAGCAGTTTGGTCTCGAGCAGAATGAGACCTGGGCGGAAATCTCAGAAAATGTCCTCGTTATCAGGGAGAACGGCGTGACGATGGAGTATACCACCATGAACGGTACCACTGTGGTGAAGCAGGCTGATGTAGTGCTTGTCACCTATCCTTTGGTCTACGACAACAACTATACAGCCCAGGACTCGTTGAATGACCTCGATTATGTGAGTCCGTCCTGCTTCTCCTACACTGAACGGGACTAACTATTCATGTGCATACAGTATGCCAACAGACAGTCTCCGGACGGACCTGCTATGACGTGGGCTATCTTTGCAATCACTGCAAACGATGTCTCACCATCCGGCTGCTCTGCCTTTACCTACCATCAGAACTCTTACGACCCGTACATGAGAGCTCCATTTTACCAACTTTCCGAACAAATGCTCGATGAAGCCAGTATCAACGGTGGCACTCACCCGGCCTATCCCTTTTTGACAGGACATGGTGGTGCCAACCAGGTCGTCCTCTTCGGATACCTGGGACTGAGACTGCTTCCCGATGATGCCATTCATATCGACCCCAACCTGCCCCCTCAGGTTTCCAACGTGGCGTACCGCACGTTCTATTGGCGTGGATGGCCCATTTCCGCGAGCTCCAACCGCACCCATACGACTATCAGCCGAGCCGCAAACGTTGAGCCTCTCGACACGGCAGACTCTCGCTTTGCCAACGCCACCATTTCTGTCTTGGTTGGCGACCCCAGCAACTCAACTGCCTACCAGCTTCCAGCCACCGGTCCCCTGGTCGTTCCCAACAGACAGATTGGATTCAACAACACCATCCCTGGAAACATGGTGCAATGTCGCCCTGTGTACTCGCCTCATGACTATGTTCCGGGCCAGTTCCCCATCGCAGCCGTGGACGGTGCAACCTCTACCAAGTGGCAGCCTTCCACCGCCAACATGAGCTCGTTGACCGTGGCCCTGGCCGACATTGAGATCAACTCCAAGGTCTCTGGCTTCCACTTCAACTGGTGGCAAGCCCCTCCCGTCAACGCCACTGTCATCTTCCACGACGAGGTGCTTGAGGACCCAGTGGCCGCGATGTCTTCCGCTCACGGTAACTCCCAATATAAAATCGTCACCACATTGACGAACATCGAGCAATCTCAGCCCTATAACGCCCAGGGCACTGACTACAACGTGGTCGCCATGAGTACTGGTAATACGACCGAAGTGAATCTGTCGCAGACTGTACACACCTCTCGCTATGCCACTCTGCTGATTTCGGGTAATCAGGGAGGCGGCGAGAAAGGTGCTACTGTTGCTGAGTGGGCTATTCTGGGTGAGAGCAAGGGATCATCTAGTGGTCACGGCAACAACAAGAGAAGGCTGGACGTCAGGGCTGCCGCTGCGCTGTCGGGTGGTTTGAATGACCGTCGGTGGCAGCAGTTCAATGCTTGAGGATGAGTCGTCAGTCGGCGGCAATTGAAGACCCTCGGGCTTTTGACAAATGTATTATACATGCCTTTATGATGTACATAATATGATATGATGCTGCTAGCTTACAGGCACACTTGCTTCATGCTTGGGCGTTATATCGCCCGGTCAACTACTTGATTCGAGAATCGAATGGGTATGATATTTAAGCTCTAGTCCGATCACGTAATAGATTTCATTGAAACTCGTTGGAGCATCGAAGAATGAGATGAAACAGACTGGGAAACGAATGTCAAGCCAGTGCGCCTTACCCGCCTTAGGCACTTCTACCTCACCCATATGACCAGCACCGGGCACCCGCATTAATGACAGAGATGCGCTGGTGTCCTACTTTGATCAGCATCGACTAACACCATGATCTTGTATCTAGTGCACTAGCGATAGAGATTAGTCGTCAGTAATCCGTCTTCTTACCCCTGCGAAAGGGACGGTACAAGATTACTTATGTGCCTCTCCCTCGAGGTCCGCAACGGTGGGAACTCTTTGACATTGTGGAGGATCCCAGAGAGACGCACGATTTGAGCAAGGAGAAGCCTGAAATCTTCAATGAATTGTTGAAACTCCTGGCTATCTATGCTGAGGACGTTGGCGTTGTCGGTTTGGCTGGCCAGATAACGGCGAACTACCAGGTGGTTGAAGGAGTCAAGGATGAATTTGAGGATACTGGACGGTGGATTCGTTTTATTGGCAAGGATAGTGTGCCACCCGAAATTCAAGCTCGGCTTCCCAAATGATCTTGAGGTTATGATGTACTAGAAGAAACTGGTAGCCGATAATCTTTTACATTAGGCGCTGGAAGTCCCAACCTTTATGAGAATCCAATTGAGAATGACAGTTATTAAACCGTCTATCTGAAGGCATAGAGGGTGATTACTGACTACAGTGATTCAACAACAGCACGGAATCCCAGCCCGAGCTCAGTCCTTCGAGAGCTCGGTAACAGCTGCCGCGGGCCAAAAGGAAGTAAGCATGAGTACTTCCCCGCATTTTGTGTTATTGACAGGCAGCTCGCGTGACAGGTAACTCGACTTTGTTGTCGCAGCGTGATTAGTGGACGCCTAGTCCATGTGTACGTGGCGCAGAAAAGCAATATATACGTGTACTCATTCAACAAATGAATCCCGGCAAAGAACAGCTGAAGTGCTCCTTGCATACTGTTGTCTCACCACCCAAGTCTCCTCTGGGCTTCCCGTCGCATCGCTACTGCTGTGTCTTTGGTCCTCTCCATGGCCGATTTGTTCTCAATCGCTCTTCGCAACAGGAAATGGAGACATTCTTCCGTTGTTCCCCAAGCCAGACACTTGAATACTCCAGGTGTCGGTGTCTCCGACTCCCCGGTGTTATTCTCAGCCAACAACTCACAGCTCACTTCATCTGCCATTCCTTGCAACTGGCCAATCTCAAGTGGAATCGTGGGTTGACCGTCATGGATCCTCTGTCTATACAGAGTCGACGCCTTGCGCACGCTTTCCGCATTATGAGATGCCACGAACAATCGTACATCCGGAAACGCTGGCGCATCATCAGACTCTATTTTGAGTGGGAACTTCCGTGATAAAAGGCTCTCCGCGATATTGTCGTAGCTATTATCCGTATCAGCCTTAGTATCGTGTATCCGGGATCTGATATCATGCGCGATGTAGGCCCCGCGGACAAGCTTGATCCCCAATGTCCATCCTTCCTTTTGAGCTAGGCAAAGGTGCCGATGGACGTTCTCGGCCGAGGATTTCAAATACGCCTGTATGGTGTTGTAGACGACTATCTTGCCGTTCCGGTTGAACCTTCGCATGAGGTCAATTGTCCAGGCGTCGATCGTCGGCTGGAAGACCTGCTGTTCTGCGTCAATCCAGAGGCGGGAGTCTTGGGATGCAGTGGCCTCGCAGATCTCTTCGATGGCTTGAGCGATAGACGGAGGCGGAGCGAGGTCGCCGCGAGAAAGGGCTTCAACGGCTTTGGGGCCTGCGCCGGTGAATCTGATTTCTGTTAGCTAGTTCTATGATTGAGTTGGTGCAGTTTGTTGATCCTGAATAGGATTATTACTTGATTCCGAGGAAGTCTCCTGCGCCAATCATCTTCAATGTCCGTAGGTTTCCCTGCCTCCATTCTTCCACTGCTTGGTCTTGAATTGCTTGTTGACTTTTCTCGACTTGAAAGCTATTGTTGTCGTTTTCATCCGCCTTCGCAATTGACTCTCTGGCGTATCCAAGGATAACGCCCTTGAATCCTAGGGTTTTCATATCCTGAACGGTCTTGCGCACTTCAGCCTCAATGGTACCTGCACAGAAGTGATTGTAGATTGTTTTTCGAAGGAGGTAACCTATCAGCGGGTTCTTGGATGGATTGAGGAGGGGAGATTTGGAATCCACCACGTATTTCAGCATAGACAAACAAGGGTCCAGTAAGGGAGAGGACATGACAGATGTAAACAGAAGCGAGCGAAGAAGTGCCCCTGTTGGCAAAACTGAGAGAGGTGCCTTCTTTGGTGACGGAGACGGCTGTGGAATGATGGCATCTCGAGGTCGGTGCGTGGAAGGCGTTGTAGTCGATGTTGAAACTTGACACTGTAATTGTTTGACTGCAAACAAGGATACAATGCTGGGTCGCTTTGGTAGTAAGGATATCACTGACATCTTGATGTTTTCCAACAATGATGCTTCAAATCACAGCTACTACGTCGTGCCTATGTCGCTATTTATGTTTCATTCTGTCCTGTTCTCTCTCTTCGTACGTGAGGGGTCAAGTCTGCCAGTTAGTCCAGATGCTGTATGTAGATCATGGCATGACGGCCTGGTCCCCGATTGATGTTGAGTTGACACTAACCAGGAACATTCTGGTCGCATTTTATGATTCGATTCACGGTCTTGTACAGATGACCTCGGTCCTCCCTTCCGACAAAGTCTCGGTTTGAGATCCCGCGCTACATTGCACAGACCGTCAAAGCCACTCACAGGTCGATTTCCATCTATGTTCTAGGCAGTTCTTTTCTATATTACATGAACTATCAAGGAATTTCCTTTAGATGTCTAGCTCCGTTGATCATTGCTTGTGCACACGCTCCTCTCACGCCCTCCTTCTCCACTGTCAACAGACCTTGAATCGTACAGCCCCGTGGGGACGAGATACTTTCTCGTAGGATAGCTGGATGCACCCCTTCTCGCAACAAACCGGCCATTCCGATCAAGTTCTGTGCTGCCATTTCCAACGCATCCGCTCTTCGGATTCCCTCCGCAACGCAGCCATCCAGAATGCCATCCAACGGAACCGTCAGAACAGCAATGGACGAACCCACAAGCATTGAGCCGATGTCAAACAGATCTGTCGCCAGGAATTTTACCTTTCCGATCTGTTCGAATATCCAGGTCAAGGTGTCGGTCAGGTCAGACGAAAGACTGTTGTGGATCTCGACGATCGTCATCGACTGACGCAGACGAGCTGCAACATTGGGCATCGCCCTCACAATGATTGCCTTTGAATCGATGGTGTCTGCGGGTGAATCGCCATAGATATACTTCTCAATAGCTTCAGGCGTTTTTCCCGCCATTATGCTGACCACCAATTTCCCTGCTAGGGCCTCCCGCACACCAGGCTCGCTCAGAACTTCCTCAGCCAGATAAGGTTTGCAGGCAAGCAGGACAATATCCGCCTCTTGCATGGCTAGAAGATTGTGCATATGCTTAATGCTAACACGACAATCATCCTCTCTGAATTCATCACGGAGTCGCTGGGCAGATGCAGCGCTCTTTGTGCTCACAATATAACGTGAGATCTTTGCAGATGCATTACCATTGGAATCTGTCGTCGAACGGGTCGCGTCAAGGAGGCCGCTCAGAATAGCGGAACCCATATTTCCTTTCAAATGATCAGTTCCACAGACGCACAATCAAAGGGGGCGTTGCTCCTTATACGTACCGCAACCAATGAACGCAAGTGTACGTTCTGGTGCCATTTTGTTAGATTATTTCGATAGCGATGAGCCCACAGTGTGTGGTGTGTGTCCTTGGAAGAATTGGATGAAATTGACAAAGTATGAGTAACAATATCTACAAGCAGATATTATGGGGAAACGACTGCGATTTCGGCTTCGGGAAGAGAACCCGAAAACTTGGCCACGCAGTGAACCTGCTTATCACTTGCTCTTTGGTGAGATTTGCCTCTTCAGGTTTTCGTCCTCACTATATGCAGCTTGAAAAGGTATTTAAGGACTTGTCTATATTTATTGTCTTGTACACATCGAGGCCAGTCCCCGTATGGTACGCGACCGACCGAGTCGCTGGCAAACGGCCAACAGTCAACGCATTCTGTCTGCTTCGTCCCGATGTGGATAACGTGCTCGAGTCACAATCAAGGCTAATAATGATTGTCGAAATTGGTGGCCTGGCTTCGCCGGTAATTTGAAGTAAACAAAATGCAAAATGCGAAGCAAAAAGTGAAGTTTGGCCCGAGCCGCGGATCGAACGCGGGACCTCTCGCAGATATGCTTGGGTTTATCCCTAAGCGAGAATCATACCACTAGACCACCCGGGCCACTATTGTTTTGGATAGAGATTAATTAGCTATAGGAGCCGGAATGATATCTATGCAGGATCCATCTAGATGGATTCTTCCCAACATGATTTATACACAACAGGCAGGAGTTCTAATGCAGTTTCAACTTGATGCATGTTGCTTAATACTAGGGTCCTTGCAACTATCTTAAAGACCACAACACCTGCTTTTGATATTGGCGAGCACATTAGTTACCAGCCTTACACGTACTCCTGCTGATATGCAATATATATTCTCGAAGCTGGACTTTTGGAGCTATCCCCTGGACAAAATACGGCACTTGAATAATGTTCTCATATCATCTGTGGAGGGAAGCTCCAATGGTGCACTTCAAGGTGATATGACTCTGGCATCGAAGCACAAAGCTCTACTAGACAACTGCGTACACAGACTCCTTCTGCGGGAATCCATCCCACGGCAAGAATGGCGCCCATAGCGATTGAGGGTATATGCTGAGGCTGTGGTATAGAGTTCGCTATTAACGAGAAAATAGAATACCAAGATACTGATCATTGAGACAAGATGGGAAACGGGGTGATTTATCCCTAATTGTGAAGAAGTGTTGAAAGCTAGCTATGCTATTGAACCAAAAGCTAAAAGACCTAGAGTAAGTTGAAGAGGAGAATGACATTACTCCCTCGGATCGGAACGAACCATCCCGTCATTCAAGACGCATCATCCAACATCATATTGTGCTTTCCAGAACCCGAGAATCACAAACCGAGCTGGGAAATGTGTATAGAGATGCGCATTGCGCCGAGCTGGCGAGCCGTCAAGGACGATTGCCTATAATGGTTGATCGAACGTCCATTCGCAGACTGAAACTGTTGCGGGTGACTGAACCGATTTCCCTCGAGACCTAACTGGTCTGGGTTCTCGACATATGGTCGAGAGTCAAGACGGGCCGTGCGAACGTAGTCGCGGCATACCGGTTGCTTGTAGAGATCGAATGTAGATATATTCACCACCAGGCCATTCTTAGGAGATCTTCGGACGCTTGGCATTCGGAAAGCCCGAACCTGATCGCATACGCTTGCGCTCCATCGCTTCCATCTCCTCCTTCATGATGCGCTCCTGCTCGGTCATCTTCTTAGGTTGTTCCAACACCAGCCCTTTCTTTCCAGTCAGAGGGTTCTTCTTTGCCACGGCCGCGAAAACATTCTTCGGCTTATTATTGTTAAACGACATGGAGAGCTTGGGCGCCGCCGCTTGTGGTGCAGCATCTACCGGAGCCGCGGGAGACTCAACCGCACTTGTGTCTGGCGTCGCTGAAGATGAACCCTTATCTTTCTCCTCTGGCGACTGCGTCCTTGGCGTCACTGACTTCGACTCTCCATCCGTTTTCGACCCAAATCCGATATTGAGCTTCACTTTCTCACCCTCCTTGCGCTGCAAAGTCCGTGCTTCAGGGTCGATCTCATCCTGCTTCTCCGCATTCCGCCGAGCCCGTTCTATCTGTTCCTGAATCTGCTGCTGTTCCCGCTCCTCGTCTCCCCTGTCCTGCCGCTCTTTCTTGAGGATCGCCTCCCGTCGTCGCATCGTTTCCGGACTCCGATCGATGTAAGAAACAAACAGACCCTTCTCGGTTTCCTCAACACGGCAAATACCCTCTCGACCAAGGTGCGTCGCAAACTGGGTGAGACTCTTCCATTTGGTGGCGTTCATATGAATGTGCTTTATCAACGTCAGTGATCTGCCGCCATAACCCAAACTTTACCGCTCGACTCACCTCCTTATCAGCAATAACCTGCTGATAGAACTGATTAAGGTGGACTTTCTTCTCGCCGTGCGTAGTCTTGAGCAGATTGACAAAGTTGTTCAGGAAATCTCTGCTGAATTCCTCGATATGTTTCTTGGGATCTTCGCCGATGAGCAGCATCTGTCGTACATGGCTTTCGCTCTGTACATGACTGGAGGAATGGAAATCAGTTTACACTTGCCAAGAAGCTCACAGGCAATAAAGAAACTCACCACTTGAATCCGTTTTCATCGCGCATCTGGCGCTCGCAAGCCTGGCAGTACCATCGCAATCTGCCTAAGCCTTTCTGCTATCAGTTAGAAGCTTGATACTTTTCGGAAATGTAGGACAGGAATGAGAGAACATACGGCTTTGATCTTGTTGCTGATCGCTTTGGTGCTTCCAGCCTCGGCACGAGGCATATTGAAGGCAAGAAATGTAAACGGTGTGAGAACGAATAAACCAGGTTTAATACAGGTTTCAGAGATGAAGGGAGATGAAGAGAGCTTGGTTGGCGGTGGTTGACCACAACGCAGAAGAGATGTGGCGGGTGATCGGGTTCTCTGTGGCTAAGGCATAGTCACGTGATAACGAGCAAAGGCCTTGAGAAGATTTGTGCCTTGTTATCAAGAGCGACGAATAAGATCATTATTTGACAGCAAAGGCTCGGTTTGCCCTCGAAGGCGCATATTACCTGGCTGAAAGAGTATATTGAACGCTATTAACTGAGGACCAGACTCCAGCTATCCTACCCGCATCCAGACAGAATTGCTTTTCTAGAAGAACTGACGCCCACCGTGTAAAGTACAATTGTTGAAAGGCAAGCAGGAGAAATCACAAATCATAGTATATGTAGAGGGCAACAAGTCCAAAATCGATTAGAAGGGTACCTCGTGGACCAAAGTGGAACACCTCGTTGCCGGACTCCATGAATCATGGTGGGACAAGGACAAAAGCAAAACAACATTGCGATACAATCACATCATATATTCATGGATCGCCGACGGCCCGTTCTCGTTATACTCCACGCGACTCATGAAGCCTTTGCTTAATCCTTGGTCAAGGACGAAGACAACCTTGGATGCGACCTGAGCACCCAAAAACACCGCCTCCTCCATGCCATGGCCACCGATGGACGGGCCGCTGGGCCTGCCAGCAGCACCATTGCCTATACCCAAGCCCCCAGCGCCACTGGCGCCTGGTGCGTTGGTGTTGCTTTGTTCTTTCCACTCAGGGAAATATTCAGGAGGCTTCAAAGTCTTCACAGAGGTGGGGGTCTGTGAATGACCGGTAGACCGATGGAAAGCCGCGTTAGGGTCGAGGGATGGTGTCCCAGGAGGCATGTTGCCTACCGCCGGGTTGCCGGAGTGGGTTGCAGCAACGAGCAGAGGATTGACGCCGTGGCCGGCGGGATGATGCATGATACTGGGCTGGCCAGAAGGAGTGGGGGTATTGGTTCCTCCGGTAGGCAATGGGGTGGAGAAATTCGACGGAATTTCAGATGTGAAAATCGTACCTGATGGCGAGAGGATAAACTTCTGTGTGATTGCTCCAAGCAAAGCCTGTGTGAAACCTGTTTGATATTATCAGTTATATGTCGAAGAGAGATACCCTTGGAGGTCACTAACCTTTGACCTTGCTGCCATTTCCCACGACAATCAATGAGTCCCAAAGCTCGCTCCGCTTGGTTGCATCGGGAACCGCGAGAATGGTATGATGTATTTGAGTGGCAATGTCCTCTAGGATTCCACTTGAGAGACGCTCCCCGACGTGTTCTTTGGGGGTTGCTGCTAAAAAGCGCTCGATGCCAACCTCGATGTCTCGCTTTTGACGGATGAATCGTCCGGAACCGTCAGTCGTCTGCTGGTCAGAGTCGAGGCGTACGAATTCCTCAAACTGGAATGAAGCTTTCTCTTTCTTGGAATTCGGCAGACGAACAGGTTTCGCAGCCTGATCCGCTGCACCCTTCTTTGAGGATGCCTTCTCGGCCTTTTCTTTCTCCCTCTTTGCTAGAAACTCGCTCGTGTTCCCACTAACGATGGCCGCAACATCCAGGAGCCCTTCATCTTCTTCGCCTTCTGCGTTGTTCCCTTCAGCTCCAGTCTGAGTGTTGTTGCCCGGGCCACGAGGGACAGATCCATTCACACCGAGACCGTCCTGTGCACCTGTCGAGGCCGATACAGCTGGGTTGGCACCTTGTTGTGCGGTCTCCGCGGTGCCAGGCAACGGTGTTCCCGGCGGCAAGATCTCCGTGATATTGCTTCTCTTCAATTGCTCGCACATCTCCCTTGTGAAGCCCTTGGGCTCCAGTAGTTCTAGAAGCCTTTCGGTCATATAATCTCCACCGCAGCCTTCCAAGGAGATTCCTCTTCCGTGGTCATTGACTATGAAATCTGTCACGGCGGTGACGTCGACCTTCCCTTTCCCGACATCGACAACCGTTGCGGTAGATGTTCCGTATCCATAGCAGACTGCCAGCGCAGAATCCATCAGGCAAAACGCTGGTGTCTTGAATTTCTCGAAAACAAACTGAGTGATCGCCTCGCGATCACGGGCAGACCAGACTGGCTCAGCAATGAGCATGATCGGTGTGTGGAAAGGCGGGCTAAGTGTGTTGTAAACGTGTGTTAAGAGGGCAAAAAAGACGGGCCAGTCGACAATCCGTCCGTTTTCGATGGGATAAATCGCGCCTTCATCCGATGTGACATCCTCCTCATAGAAGATCTCCTGAGTAGTCTCCTGTGTAGTCTCCTGCGCCGTTTCACCATTGCTTTCTTGTGCCTCTCCATTCTCCGGCTGGCCTCCAGCTTCTGCGGTTTGTGGCTTCTCATCCGTCACTGTATTCGCTACACCCTCAGGCGCAGAGGTTTCCGCATCTTTCATCTCCACGTCCTCCTTGGGCGCGTCGGCGCCATTGCTAGGTTTGACATCGCGTCGCTTTTCGTGAATCTTATATGGTTCATATTCGCCCTTCTTTTCACCAGGAAACATGCGCGTGGGGAAGCGAAATCGTGCAGGAGTAAAGGACTCCGGAAGGCCGAGCTGGGCCAGGGTCACTTGCGAACCTGGCGCAATTATCTAGAAAGGGACCGGGGGTTAGTGGGTTGCTGCCTTGTGGCCATAAGGCAAGTGAATGTTGCGAGGCGGGGTAAGTGAGGTTTACCAGAATGTGTTCATCCTTAAAGGGCGGCATCCTGGGCAGTCCAGCGTGATGGAGCTTAGGATTTTTGGGGGATCTGTCGCAGTGAAGCCGACCGCGGTGTTGGAGCTTCTGCGATGGTCTCTACCAGGTTGGGCGGTCAGCCACTTTCAGTTAGGCGCCACCCACCCACCTCGATCTTTGTACAATCTAGTATAGAGTTATGAGGCCTTCGTCAATTGATTTATAAATTGAAGTTATTAGGTCACGGTCATGCTCCCAGATGCATGTATCTATTGTTATGCGTTATGCTTTAATCGATAAAATGAGTTCGACTGCCGCGAGTGTGGTGTCCTCGATTTTGGAAAACACATCTACGAAGTAGTATATACTGAGCTTAGAGTTTACCCATCCTCGCCTGTCGGGGCATAATTCATCTTTCCGGAATATCTCCCGTCTTGTTTATAAATTACTTCAGTACTTAGAGACGCAGGAAACGCTGAAACTTGAGGAGCAGGACAACATCAACTCCCGCAACTTTCGGGTTATAATGACGAACAAATAGCCGTCCTTCAATGCGAAACTAATGAAGAGCACAAAAGACGGCAGTAAATCACAAAGCGAATTGTCCATATAATAGGGATGAAAATACAGACAACGCTATCGCAAACATGCTAAGCATTCCCCGAGTAAGACCCTGAATAAGCACCTAAACTCCGAACCTATTTTCTCCCCTTGAAGCATGTACGTGTTATTGGCCACAAAATGGAACCCAAAGCACTAAGAACTCCGAGACGCGTGAGTCTATCTGATCGACAAGTCTGGAACAACAAGCATGGTGTCGAAAGCTCATTCCGGAGCAGCGTTGTATTTTTCTGTGGCCGAGCGAAACAACTCTTGCTGCTGTCGTAACAGTTCCTCCTCGGTCAGGCCGCTTTGTTCCATCTTGCTTTGCTTCTTTTCTCGCGACTATTCATTCGTTAGCAAAAGCTGTCTTTACGAGCGACTGTCGCAGGATACAAACCTTCAGTTGCTCCTTATGTTCCTCGGCGACGGCAAGGACATCGGGAATATAGTCACCGAATCCAAGGTCACGTAGCGCCCGCTCCACATGTTCACAAGCGATTGTCTTCTTTGCTTCCTTCTCGCTAATATCGTTGGCCTCAGAAGAGATCAAAGTAATGAATTCGACGCAGCATTCCATGAGCAAATCTCGAGCATCCTTGGAAAATGTTTGACCGGACGATGGTGGTAGGATCTCTGTAATGATCTTTTGGACCGTCGCTGCGGGGAACAAAGTAAGCTACATGTAGGCTTGCACGGGGCGCAAGGGTATTGAAGGCCGTGAAGTGATAATCGCTCCAAATGCGACAAAGGGATATATTGGACCAGGTTTCTGTCACATACCTTTGGGAAGCGATAGGTCATCATTCGCTGTATATGAGTTGAAGTATCAGCCGGGCTGTCAAGAAAATGGGTGGAAAGCAAATACATACAGCCAAACTCTCTATCAGACATGGTAGATGAGCAATGAATCGTCTCAGACAAAAGCGTAGTTCATATGTCGCAAAGTTTCGCGAACTTTGAAGGTTATATTGTGATAGCAAGTCCGCGTGGGGCAGATTGGCTCTTAGTCTTGATAAATAGTCGATGAAATCACACTACGCGTGGAGATACTCGACACGGGATAAAGAATAGAGGCAGAAACACACCGCCTTCAGTCTTTATCTGCAAGCAATTTTTTTTTCTTCTGCAACCTTTTTCCCTTTCACCACACAACAACAAGCGAGACAAAACGTCTCCAAGGTCTTCAATGAAGAGATCTTCAAAAGTTGCTTTTTACTCACACCATAGAGCAAGTAACACTAACTGTCGAAGGTATGTTAGCTACATTATCAAAGATCCTTGCAATTCTACATGATGAACCTTGTTGTCGCCCCTATCATACCCACACTGTGGTGACGAACACTGTCCTAGCCAAACGGACCAACTGATATCTCTTCATTCACTATTGCATTTAACGTCTAAAGATTTTATATCTTTTGCTAATAGCTTGAAGTATATTTAGGCTGTAGCTTTTTGTCTTGACTTCATGGGAAGCTGAACTGTGGTTTTATTAGCTAAAACTCTGCACTCAGATGTTGGACGTTGACGTGCTAAGGACTGGTTTGAATGTCTTCGCATACATGGATCTGCGTAAACTTATAGGTATGGGTGCTCCCTTTCTCCTTGTCTTCTCCCCAATTTATATGATGAGTACCCTACATTCCATGCTAAGTATGAAGGTGCTCTGCATCTAATGCTTCTAAAATGTATTGCTTTTCATCTTTCGACTGATTATATTTACAATTTCATGCCGTTTATTTCTATCTACTCGTTGGTTGCGACATGTACTGACGGTCATATATATAGGCCTCAATGGTATATGGATATTCACGCTTGGAAGTCTTTTAGAGCTTCGTCATTCCATCTATTTAGTTGTTAGCTAGCATTTAGCCTGAATGAACAAATGACTTACGAGAGGAATTTTCCGCTGAGTGAAGCTGGAGCTTCGAGGACCAGCTTAGCCATCACATGGCCGGGCTGCTCGGGTTTGAGTAGCTTTCCGTCCTTGTGCGCAGTTGTAAATTTGGAATGCATTTGAGGCTCAAGATTCGTAGCATGGTCTTCTCTCAACTCGCGCTGCATCTCAGTGTCGACCATTCCGGGCCGGATAGAGATGGTGGTAACGTCGGGTTCCTCTTCGCCTAAAGACAAGGCAAGATGATTCATTGCAGCCTTTGTTGCTCCATAAAGAGCCCAGCCTCGGTAGGCGGATACCGAAGCTCCAGAGGAAGTGAAGATAATCTTTCCCTTGGCCTCACGAAGCGCCGGTAGACCAGCTTTGATCTGATATAGAAGTCAATTAGTTCGTTTGCATTCGAACACCAACATCCAGCAACGGGCCATGTCTTACAAACGCGATGAAGCTGATAAAATTCACGTCAAATCCGAGCTTCCACTGTTCGGGGTCTGCATTGTCGATTTTGCCGACTTGTCCAAGTATTCCATGGTTGAGGACCAATCCATCAAGACGGCCAAATGACTTGATAGCCAGGTCGACTGCCTTCTGGCCGAGAGAGAAATCGGCGAGATCGCCGTTGAGCACCTCGACCTGCTTGTTGAACTGTTCCTTGAGCTTCTGGAGAGGTTCGACGCTGCGAGCGATCACGACGACATTGTGCGACTGTGGCGCGGTAAGAAGGTACTTTGCAATGGCGAGTCCGATACCTGAAAGAATTGTGTAATGCGAGTTAGTACATGTGTATTTGAGGGGGATGCTCGACGGAAGTACCTCTCGAGGCGCCGGTGACAATGATGGTTTTGCCCGACATCTTTGTCCAAGATTGTTGACAAAAGAAAGTAACAAATAAAAGCGAAAAAAGCGAGCTTAGAAGACTAGAAGCCCAGAGGAATTTTAGTTGGACTTTCTGGTCACTGAAGAAGAATGAGCAGGACCAATCGAGTAGTCGGGACAAACCGAAAAAAGCGCTGCCAGCATGCACTGATGTAATTTCTTCAGTGAGGGGAACGCGGGGTTGTCGGCGAAGAAGCCGCAGAATAATAATGCCATCGATACCTCTCTACAATTGCCCAGATAAAACCTTCCCGTTTACAGGTACCATGAGCCCTTGGGCCGAATATAAAATATAAAGTCCAGTCTTGTTCTTCTTGTTGGCGAAGTGCATGCCCGAAGCCATCTTTTACTGCAGACTCGGAAAACCGGTATCTATAGGTTTACACTTCACATGGATAAGAACGGCTGGAAACTACCCAGTTGATTTTCGACTAAACGGCTTGCACGGCTTGCATAGGGAGGTATGGAATTCCAAAGCTTCTTTCCCATACGCAGGGGTCGAGACCAACATTATTGAAAGGCCGTGAATCACCGTCTTCTGGGCCTGTCGTAGTTCTACCCTGGCTACAGACTCCTGCCATATTCCATTCAAGTCCATCGATAATACAATCTTGAAAAAAAAGGAGAAATGCATTTTGCCATAAAATGTAGGTGAAAGTATGCTCTAAGGCTATTGCTCTACGAATTACTGATGGCGCATAGGGGCATAGTGGCGTAATCGACCTAGGACAACCCATAGACCACGGAACGGCAGTATGTCCACTGTGATTCTTGGACGAGGCATCATCGGATCTTCAATTGCCTACTACCTGTCTGAAAATGGATCGTCCGACGAGATCCATATTGTTGAGGTATCGTCTCAGTTGTTCAGTGCTGCATCGGGATACGCTGCAGGTTTCCTAGCCAAGGACTGGTTTGCGCCAGCTCTTGCACCCCTGGGAGCACTCTCTTTCAATCTGCATCAGTCGTTGGCGGCTAAGCATGGAGGGGCTCAGAAATGGGGATATATGAAAGGCACAGCACTGAGCCTGGACCTTTCCAAGAAGAATAAGAAAGGAGGTGCTTCTCGAGATGACTGGCTGAGTGCAGGAACAAGTCGGGCAGAAGAAGCCGCCAGCTCCAGCAGTCCTATTCATGCGGAGGTACCCGGCTGGTTGACGAAGCAGAAGAAAGGGGTCCTTGAGAAGATTAGCGATGATGACACTGTTGCTCAAGTGTTAGTAATGATTATTGCGCACCCTGCCGCATGGCGAACTGACGGCGTTTTACTAGAGACCCATTGAGATTGTCAAGATTTCTTTTGGAGAGTTCTTTGTCCCGCGGTGTCAAGTTGCACAACCCGGCTAAGGCCACGTCCATCATTACAGATCAAGTCAGTGGAGCTATCACCGGGGTCAAAGTCATCAATTTGGATACTCAAACGGAGTGGACACTTCCGTGCACAAATATCATCATTTGTGCTGGACCCTGGACGCCGCAAGTCTATGATGATCTGTTCCCTTCGTCTCGTCTTTCAATCCCAATCACCGCGTTGGCTGGATACTCCCTTGTCGTCCGTTCTCCCAGATACACGCTTCAAGACGAGAGGGTAACAAACACCGGCCGCAGTCATGCCGTGTTTACGGCACACACTGATTCAAGCGGTTTCTGTCCTGAGATTTTCTCCCGTCAAGGCGGAGAGATCTACATAGCCGGTTTAAATGACACGCATATCCCTCTTCCAGCTCAGGCGGAGGACTCGTGCAAATTAATGGAACAGAATGAGATGGAACGATTGAAAAAGGCGGCGGTTCGTCTGATGGGAAGACTAGCCGAAGGCAATGTGGAATCAACAGACGACATTGCCAACGAAAATGACTTGGAGATATTGCGTGAAGGCCTATGCTTCCGACCCGTCTCCGCGCATGGAATCCCATTCGTCACTCGAGTTGACGATCATTTGCTAGGTGGGCTCAAAGCTGAGCGTAGAAACAGTTGTGAGAATGGTAGAACAAGGGGAGGAGTTTATGTTGCGTCAGGACACGGTCCATGGGGAATCTCATTGTCATTGGGAACTGGGAAAGTGATTGCGCAAATGGTGGAGGGAGCTGAGCCTGATATAGATGTGAGCGGGCTTGCAATAGTGTGAGTCGTCCTGGATAGAACAGAAGAACAAGACCAGACTTGATATGTTAAATGTATCTAATTTACCGCATAGAACAATTACCCCATAATCGAAGAGCGGGTTATGATAGGATAGAGGGGAGATTATGTAATCTAAGATGCTTGACTGACTAATTATGCACGCGGAATATTCTTGTTCCAGTTTGCGGCCTGAGGCTAGAAACTTCCAACAAGAGTTAGTCAGCATCTCCGCCACGCGATCAAGCTCTCCAGAATCTTCAAGCTATAGGAAGGGACATAGCCTCACCTCCTGCGCTAGCACTACCTTACCATCTCCTTCCCTCTCTTTACCCTCTGTCACTTTCCTTCGTCGTGTCCCCTGACAGTCCTCTTTTTGCCTCCGCATCGTTCCTCCTACTCCAAGTGACCCGGGCTCATTCTACTGTCCGCTGATCATCATGGCCAACTATCTCGCCTCCATTTTCGGTACAGAACAGGACAAGGTCAATTGTTCCTTCTACTACAAGATTGGCGCCTGCAGACACGGCGATAGATGCTCCCGCAAGCATGTCAAGCCATCATACTCCCAGACGATCCTGATGCCCAACATGTATCAGAACCCAGCTTACGACCCAAAGAACAAGATGAACCCCAGCCAGCTGCAAAACCACTTCGATGCGTTCTATGAGGATGTGTGGTGCGAGATGTGCAAGTACGGCGAGTTGGAGGAATTGGTTGTCTGCGACAACAACAATGACCGTAAGTACTATGTTGCAAATCATGGTTTCAAGAGAACTATCGCTAACTGAGTCTATCATGCAGATCTCATCGGCAACGTCTACGCGCGATTCAAATACGAAGAAGACGCACAAGCTGCGTGCGATGCGCTCAATTCGCGCTGGTACGCCGCACGACCGATATATTGCGAGCTATCACCCGTGACAGATTTTCGAGAAGCGTGCTGCCGGTTAAATAGCGGCGAAGGATGCGTACGAGGCGGATTCTGCAATTTCATTCACCGGAAAGATCCCAGCCCCGAGCTCGACCGTGAGCTTCGCTTGAGCACCAAGAAGTGGCTCAAAGAACGAGGCCGGGACCCGAGAAGTGCTAGCCGGAGTCCTAGTCCGGAGCCTACCAGGCGGAGATTTTAGGGAGATTTCTTCTATGATTTCGTTTCCATATTCGGCGTTGGGGAGATTGTGACATCTGTCATCTGTACCTTCTTGTTCGCTTAGCATGATATCAAAGCTAGCTCATTCCAATTAGTAGCTACCATGATCATATCCATACTTTCTTTAAGATAGCATTAGTGACCTTTGAGTATTGATAGTTAGTAGTCCGCTTGGCGCAATAAAAGGCCCATGTATGCGAAGGTCGATGCGACCACCGTACGTAAATTGCCCATCTCGGTCTTGGCATCCGATGACGCGGGTCGCGTTGGATCGCGTTGCAATGACTTTCCCCGCAAAAAAAAGAAACCGAAGATCTAAGATTTGTACTCAAAACGTAACGATAGATTGGCCTCTCGACTTAGCGGAGGGCACTGTCGCAACGACATAATGGCAAACAATGCTGGGGCGAATGGCTACAACGATAGTAATCGCGCCTTTCTCCAAGCGTTCATGGCCCGGTCGACCATGACATTTGAGGAAGCCAGACCTGTTCTAGCAGCGATCTTTTCGGCGCACGGTATGAAGTCATATACGAGAGACCACGAGGGACTTGCTAATCTGTGCATGATGATAGAAGGCCAACCTGTCTCCCCGGACGATGTATCGCAGGAAGATCTCGACTCCTACATCGATGCTGCCAACGCCGCAATTTCTCCGTTCGACCTGGAAATTAGGAGCACGCTACGCCAGTTACAGGTCGATCAGCAAGTGGACGGAAGTACGCAAGCTGAACGAGTATATGCTCTTGTGAATACTACTAGTGATCCACTCATGCAATTAGCCACCACCTACTCGGCAGACGAGATTGCCTTCATCAAGCGTGTTCTTGACGCGATCTTCGATACTTACAATACACGACGATCCGAGGCCATGGTAGTCAGTGGTATACAGGCCATGCAGCTCGCTAAGGCTTCCTCGAATTCAAGTCGACGGGAGTCTCAGGGCGCCACACAGCAAAATCAGGGAGGAGCAGCGCAGTCTTTGACCATGTCGCAGGCGGAGACGGTCTTAAAACAGCTTGTGGAGGAAGGCTGGCTTGAGAAGAGCCGGAAGGGATTCTACAGTTTGAGTCCGCGGGGGCTGATGGAGCTGCGTGGCTGGCTTATTGCTACGTACAATGAGAACGACGAAGGGCGGAGAGTGGATAAGATCAAGTTCTGCGCAGCATGCAAGGATATTATCACGGTGGTGAGTCTGCAGACTACGCTCTTTGTGATTAGTACGGCAACTGACGTCACGAAAGGGTCAACGTTGCGGCGACCGTGACTGTTCGGGCCGGCTTCACGATATGTGCACTCGCAATTTCTTCCGTATGCGGCAGGCTGAACAGTGTCCTGTATGCAAGGCTCCTTGGCCCGGTGACAAATTCGTTGGCGAGAGAGCCATTACGACCACGGATACATACATGCAAGGCCAAAGAAGAAGTACTAACACCTGGCGCGAAAGTGGTGGCGCCACTAGCACACAGGTCGCAAGCCAGGTTACCAGTCAAGGCAATGAGAGTGACTGAGAATGGCATACGCCGAGAAAGATCAAGTTCAAAGATCCGAATCAGCGGTGTACAACTTTCGATATCCGGACCGAAAGAGCTCAGGATACGGCACGCTGAGGGCTCACGTGGCCAGCGTCCATGAACTGCTGTAGACCTTGTCTGCAGCTTAACGACCAGTACCTCGACGTAGTACAGGAGGAAAACATTATCCCACCTGATCACCACCTGGTCGTCTTTCGAGATTTGAGCGAACTTTCAATACTCTCAGCCCGAGAAGCCGCCTTCCTCGGAGTGGGTTACAATGAGCATTGAGTAGTTAGAGAGGACGTTCATTTCCGCAGGACTAATTGGGCGTAACAGGGTTGCGCTGCCGGGCCACTGCTTAACCGAAGCTTGACTAAAGCTCACGTTCACGGGAATAAGCTACCCGATTGAGCTCTCTTCAAGGGAGCAATAGGCAGACAATCGGGTGGAAACTCCGCTAGGATACCCAGTATCATTCTCAATGAGAGTGCCTTTTGGCAAGCGTCTTCTACATACAGTTGAATCTCTTTCGCCCTAACTCGAAAATCTTCAATTATCCTATTTAAGGCCCATCGATGAAAGTTGGGAGCGGCGAGATATGGATTCCTTCTGCCTGAGTCGGCGTCGGCATTTCATCTCATTCTAGGTGAAATACAAGATGGATATCATTCCCAGACGTAGTTTGATCTCAGCCATGTTTCCTAGCAGATATGAAAGCAAAAAAGGATCATTGTCATTCACAATGCTGGCTTGACGGCGTATATCTGAAAGGAGCCTGGAGACTGGGTTAGCCACGACGGGAAGCCTCATCGACTACAACTCACCAGCCCATTCATTACAGTCATAGTCCCGAATTTTGTGATTATTTTGATCGCCGGAGAAGGACATGCCACAACAGGCAGGCTTCTCTTGCGGCATATCTTTGTAGACGTTGAGGTCTGCCTTAGTGTCCACAATCGTTATGTCTGCGGACAACATCAGTATCCTTCGATCAGGCGCAAGTGGATTGGTTGAGGTACCACCAAACCCGGCGTCCTTCAGATATGCATGGTACTCCTGGGCCTGACTGGCACCAGCGATGCAGCCAACATACAGCGCCAAGTCGTTCGCGATCTCGGGCGGAAGCTTCTTCCGAGCAAGGATGTCACTGATTGCAACTCGACCTCCAGGTTTCAAAAGCCGGAACATCTCATGGAAGACAAGGCTCTTCTGCTCTTTTGGCACGAGATTGACGACACAGTTGCTGATGATGCAGTCGGCTGTCGAATCCTCGAGTGGTATAGCAGTGATGAATCCCTCGACAAAGGAAGCGTTGGTGATGCCTGCTCTTTCGACATTTTGGTGGGCGAGAGCCAGCATTTTCTGGTTGATTGGAAGTAAGTCTCTCCCCGCAGGCGTACAACCCGCTCTATAGAAGTGAATACTCACCTTGGTCATGTCAACACCGATAGCCTTCCCCTTCGGACCGACTTTGCGGGCAGCGAGAATGACATCGATGCCACCGCCACTTCCTAGATCGATTACAGTCTCACCCTATTTTCTGGCAGTCAGCCGTGCGCAGGGGACGGTCGAGCCATACATACTTCTCTTAGGCTTGCCAACGCCAAAGGATTACCACAGCTGACTCCAAGATTCGCATTCTCGGGAAGGGATTTCAGATCCTCTGGGTCATAGCCAAACGCCTTCGCAACGCTAGTCTGATAGTCCTCAGACCTGTTCTTGGAGCCGCGCTCAGCTAATCCTCCATAATAGTCTTGCACCGCTTGAATGGTTTCTGTAGACTGCATGATGCCTTTTTGGGTGATGGAGAGACAGTTCCTCCGGTCGTAATGTGGTCAACTTTGACAAACTCGGAGCTCGTTGGCAGTTTATACCTGCCGAGCAACCCCGCATCTTGGCCTTGCTACACCGTACGGTCGACGCTCGTCCTTCGGCTTTCGGTCGATCTTGGACAGCCTTATACGACGGAAATATGTTGCAAGTGCCTGGCTCTCATTGATTGGTCATCTTCGAGGTGCACGGGTTGTACGATTACCGTCCAATGAGATCCAGCCTGTGACATCTTCCTGCATGCCAGAGAGACGAGACGATATCATCTGATATTGAAGGGATCATCGAATCAAACTTCGAAATGTTCGATGATGCACGAGCTATGCTCGACCGCGAAGCATTCGTCGATTTATGCTGCAACCGTGGCGCGGGTAAAACCCACGAAGAGGGACACAGTTCGAGGGCTCAGTTCAACCGAGGACACCTGTTTTTGAATGTGGAGCTGCCGGCGATTGCAGCTTTCGGTTCCTTGGGAGATTTGGAGACGACCGTTTTAAATCTGTGGCGATCGAAGTAAAAATCAGGCCGCCGCCCTGGTGAACCCTCTTTCTGATTTGAGAGCTATGCCGGGTTGGAACGTTTTATCTTGCGTTGAGAAATCCTTCGAGGGATCCGCAGACGAGGCAGTGCCTTTGTCCCTAGACTGCTTGACCGCTACCACTCTATATGTACCAAATAAGTCATATCCGAGCTCTTTGCAATGTCCAGAAGCGTCGCTGCCACGTGTTCCTCATCGAGATGTGCAAAGCGACGTTCAAGAAGAGTGAGTGGCTCAAGCGAACGATGTCCAGGCCGCAATTTGCCAGTTTTGAGTCCTAAGCGGTACCGTCGACGCCTGCGGATTTCGAGCAGTCGGCCATCACGGCCAACAAGCTCAGTCCCTGCTGCTTGCGCCAGACGTAGTATTGCTTCCATAGGCTCCATGTCTCCGTCGTCGATTTTGAATGCCAGTTCTACCGCCAGTCGGAGTTGGGATTTACACTGTCCTGGTGAGCATTGGAACAACAACTGGAGCATGACCTAAGAATACCATACCCCGTAGAGCTCTTCATACTCATCAACACGGCGCCGCTCGTCAAGCAGAGTGGAGAGATAAGTTCGCCAGTCAAAGGTAAAATAACTACTTGTGATGGTGTGCCGCAGACGAAGGTCGATGGGAAGTAAATCGGTTACTCCTTTCTCAATCTCAACAGTGATGTAAGGATTGTATCCTTGCTCATCGAATTCGTTCAACGTTCTCTCAATTTGAATTAACTTCTCACGATCTCGCGGATCTGTCCATTTCAATCTTTGACCCTCAAAAATAGCGATGCGCTTTTCAGAATCACGAAAGCCAGAGAAAATATAACGCTCATGTAGACACATATGATAAAATCCAGGGGGAAGATTGTATAATCCAGGGAGATCCATCGGAATGTCTTCCTCGCGTTCCACCCTGAGCTTTGCACGCTTGACCCAGTACTTGAAGTAGAAATCTTCAATCTCTCTCTTGAATATCCTGTTCAGCCCGCGATACTTGACCCACGGCTGCCATCTCGGTTGATCGGGCATCCGAGGTAGAAAATACGCGACTCGCATCCAAAGCTCAGGTGGGAGCCAGAAAGTGTACGTCGACCTGAATTGATTTTCTTCACTCATTGCAGGAATGGAGGTACAAATATCAGAGGGGCCTTGGTCGAACACGGAGAGAAACGGGCTGATGCACTTGTTGACAGTGCGGACAACAAACGGTGGTGGGGGGCCTTATCACGTGATCCACGCATAGATGGCCATGGACGGAGATGATATACGATGCATTATGCATATACCAAAACGTAAGCATTACTAAGGTAGTTTGCTAGGTACAATCGCTCAATAGGCATGTTCTAAATATACAATTCGCTCGCCAAAATGCGGTACACTACATCACTCTAATTCCGGTCTGTAAGTATTGCTCTTCGGGACTTCCAACTCCCCCATCCCTCCATTCGAACGATAAGCAGGAGCCATACCGGGAGCTCCTCCTGAGTATTGCCCGACGGGCTGTTGAATCCGACCATTGACCGACTGTCGCCGTGTGCGAAACCACAACCACAGAAACGCCGCTGAGATAGCTAACAGCGGAACCCCAAGAGCAATCCCTAATCCGAGTCCCAGAGTTAAAACATTCTTATCCTGCTGCGAATTTCCTGTCGCGGTGGCACTTGCTACGGAATCGCCCGAGGAGAAAGGAGTCGTAGTTGTCGTCGTTGACTGCGAGGGGGACGCTAAAGTCCCCACAGCAGAGGACGAGGACGAGGACGAGAACGTGGTCGAGATGCCATTCTGCGCGAGAGACACATTCCCGTCGACCCAGGTGTACAGGCCCAGTTTTGCATCGCAGACGGACGAGGCCCAGCCGCTTGTGCCGCAGGTGAAGACCTGGTTGGTATTATTGGGACACGCGTACAGATTTGCCCATTGATAGTCGACTTCTAGAGAAATGAAGCGCATGAGTCAGTAGAGTTTACTTTCGATGGGCATGTCTGCCCCAATGCTGCGATTGAATCGTACCCTCGTAGCAAATGCGCGGACAATCAGCAATCGGCCAGGAAATGTCGGTACACGCGCCGCGGTACGCAATGTTCAGCTTGGAACCATAGCAGAGGTTGTTCGATAGGCAGGCTTCCCCGACTGCGCAACAGACTTTACTATTCGGACATGGCACCCAGTTGGACGGGGTCGCCTTGCCATTTGGCCAGTAGCAGGTTTCTGCAGCCCTGGCGATGGAGATGAAGGCCGAGAGCCCGAGGAGGAGATTATAGACGGCCATCGGAGCAGCTGGCACGGTGGCTGAGTAACGAAGAAATTCGCATTTTCCTGAGAATACCGCGTGCGGCAAGGACTCTGTTAAAAGAAATGATAAGGGGCCCCAAGAATACTCCGTAGACAGAAAATGCAGGGATGTTGAAGAGCTGGCCAATATGAGACGATGTTTTGGCGCTGGGTATGGGCACCGCAGGCGCCAAAGGGAATGAAGGGTCCATTCTGGCTCCCACTGGCCACACACAGACGGAGGATGGGCAAAAGCTGCATTAGTGCCCTGTTAGAGAGCATTAGGCGGTTAAGCAATTGCTAGCGTTCAGGATCTATGCCATTTTAGTCCACTTTTGCTCTGTTTAAGCTTAGTTACGTTGCTACGGGGTAACTGCTTAGAATACAGCCCTCGCCAATTTTGCTTAATATCACATGTTGGCCCGTTTAAAGGCATTATAGATCTCACCAAGAAATGGATTCTTTGCCGGCATTTGTTGATGAGAATAATCTTAAACATACAACGCCATCAGACCTTTCGCGTGAACCTTGATGGGAATGTAACTAACTCTGGTTAAACTGATGATGGAACACTGTGTCTTCGTTATTTTCATCAACCCTATCATTTTCAACTTTAGCTAACCTGTGGTGCAGTTGGTGCATTGGAGCACAATACTTCTCCCCACAAAAACAACCCTAGACTCACTCCCAGCAACGCAACTGCAAAACCAAATACAGAAGGTCCAGGAGCAACAGACTGCCAGCTCCCAAGCACAAACGGCGACATCAAACCTCCAAAATTCTCCATAAAGGTCAATGCTGTAATTGCGCGAGACGCATCGGGCATGAACGAAATGAAATAACTCTTGAAGAAAGCCGGCAGGGATAACCCAGCTGCTGCAACTGACACAGCCAAGTACAGTTGGCCAGCGCTCTGGACCTGCGTGATGGCTACCAGAGCGAGCATCTGTATGGCTAGGGCTCCGAGTACTGCAGAGCGGTCTGTGAGCCTGTCCGAGTTCAGCCTTAGCCGTCGCACGCCGGGCAGGATGAACACTTTGAGTAGAAGGTGCACGGCAGCGCATCCAGCGGCGGTGGTTACAAGCAGGCCGTTCTGAAAAGAGCCGAAATGCAGCCGTACCGATGCAAAGACCATGATTGCGGGGAAGAGATGGGCTTGGACGGTGGTGTAGAGCAGCAGGGAGAGGCCATACGGGATGGCGCGGGGATTGTCGAGGAATGATCGGAGTGGAGAGAGCAGGACATTGAGGCCTGAAGGAATCTTGGAATATGTTTGCATCTGGGGCACGGCTTGCACAGCTGGTACACGGACAAAGGTGACCAGGTATACCAGCGCTACGCTGAAGATGGCCAAGGCTGCGGTGAAGCTTGCTGTGTAGCTCTGAAAGATGCTTACCGCAAGGGGGCCGACAGCTGTCCCTAGCATATACAGTCCGAGGGAAGTGGCGATAAGTTGTGAAGTTTCTTGACTAGAGGATGGCGACGTTATAGAAACGTAGATAGTGTTGAGGTTGAAGTGAAGCAGGTTGTCAGACGCAAGCCCCTCGAAAATGCGTCCTGACACTGCGATGGTGACACTACGAATGGAAACTGCCATGGTCAGCGAGAAATCCTGAAAAGATGGTCAAGACATTGACTACCTCCGATGACAATGCACAATACACTGGTTGCGCGACACACGATCCAGGTCAACAGGCCGGCTCGTAAATGTTTCTGGATGAGTTGCTCCATCGGCCCGAGAATCAGAATGGCCATCGCATGGGCGATTCCACTGGCGATAGCGACCACGGCTGCATAGGCGTTTTGCTCACCATTTTTGCAGTCGGTTGGGTCCTCACAAAGGAGGTCAGCATAGGCGTAAATGGTAGTGGCAGTGGTGGCTGCCATGCCGAGAGAGGCAAGTAAAGCGAGAGGAAGCGTTCGATAAGCAGCATTCTGAGTATTCTGAAGGGTGTCATGAATCGCTTCGCTCTGTGAAAGCAGTGGCTCAGTCTCGCATTCGCTCATATTGGATTGCGCTGCTATCAAAATTGAAAATGGGTTGAGAGCCGTAGGTTATCACTAACGAAATAGTTTCGGTGGCCGAAATTGTCAGCCACGGAAACTGGCCTTGAAAGAGCCCACCTTAAGATGAAATCAACGCCAACATCAGCGAAAACTAAAGCTGCAGGTTATCTTCTGCATCATTGCATCTTGAAACCCCTTTTACAAGTAGAGAATGCTCTCCGGAGGTCCTGGAAGTGTCCCAACAGCATGGCAGCAGGAACGCTTGCATTGCTTTGTCGAGGAGAGCCGTCTGCAATCCAAGCCTCGCTTCGACCGCAAGTCGAGTCTTTTATCTGAGGATATGACCATGTAGAGATCCCTGTTATATTATCTCTTGTCTCATCTCCTTTGCATGGCTGACACTTGGGCCTCAGTCAGACACAGACTCGTGACCGTTGCGACAAGATATATAGAACCGAGGGAGAGAATGCTTCCAGACAGCACAAATCGACAGTTCGTGAATCCATAGGTGAAGGAAACCGTACCGGAGGATCCGAAGACTGAGATCATTGAGGGCGAGAAAAAAGCGGCCACTTGACTTAATCAGATTATCATTGCTGTGTTTGATATCTGCCTAAGGCTTCCAGGATTTTCACGATGGTAATGAGGGTCCTCCGCAGTCGAATGATGCTGATCCAAAGTATACTTTCACTTTACATATTGTGATGTATTACTATCCCTCATTCGATTCTACTAACATTGGGGCTTGACTAACTTGAATCAACAACGGTACTATTCTTCCTTCGAATTCAGAGCAAAGTGCTAGACACTATATTTATTTATATGTGGCCAGGGCCATCGACAGGGGATGAATGATATGAAGAGGAGGATCATTGATCACCTGAAGCGGCTAGAGGGAACTCTCGATGTGATCGTACAAGTCAACGCTGAGATTGCGTTGCCGATATGGGTTCCGCTTCGCATTGCAATCACGGTAATTTAAGTCATCTGGATGATGCGTTCTGTGATGCTTGGAGCTAATCGTTAAACCCCATTAGATTGCCAGTCAACACCTCTCAGCGTTGGAGCGATTTGCGTTTATCGTCGGCAAGATTGCACGATAGGTTCAGCGATATCAGGATCTAGCAGCACTATTTGTGTTCCAGTACGTTAATGATGGGGAGTTTGTGTTTGACACGCCTGGATTAGCAAAAAGACCGGCCGGCTCTGGTGAATATTCGTCAGATGATTACGGGTTACGAAGTAGCAGCTGTCCACCAGTCCTTCTGGCAAAATCTTTCGAGGGGGAGCCTTTGAACCGATTCGGACATTACTGCAGCCACCACGGACAAGGAAGTTGTCTGGAGGGATTGCGGCCGCGTGGTATTTCACCGAGTGCCCAGAATCGCAGCAGCATCTAGACGAGTTAAGAAGTGCTTCATCAGTTCCGATGAGCTTTTACAAATTTGAATCTCACTACTTCTTCCAATACGCCCTACTGCGTGCACTGTGATTCTCAGCATTCTGTTCCGCTGAAGATTCGGCAAATTGAGCTCTCGAAAGAAGACACGATGGTCTAGCAGCTCACCGAATTCCTGACGTCCGGAAAATGCCTGCGTTGGTTCGAAATAGCAACCATGATTAACTTTTCTGGAAATTTCATCCAGCTTCTTGACAACGTCCTGGGTGCGCTCGCAGAACTGTGTGATAAGCTTTCCAAAGACAACTGTGAATCTCCAGCATTGGCGGCTTTTAATGAACACCACCTGGTATTTTTCAAGAATTGGAAATATGTGCTGTTGAAGTCGACGCCCTGGGACCCTGATTTCCGGAAGCCTAATATGATAGAGCCATCTGGATTCAGTGAAGACCCGACATGTCAGAGAACGATGGAAGTCACGACGAGATGCAGTGAAGAGGCAGACATTCTCTCTCGTCAGGATGAGATCTTAGCAAAAGTGCGTCTGTCCACAATGCTTAGAGGCCTTACCGGGTTTAGGGAAAGTAAAAAGGCATAGACTGAACTGCAGGGCGTTTCCACCGAGTCGTCATGCAGCATCATGGGGTTAATATAGCATGCTTTGAGCAAGAGATGTCATGTTTCCGGTCAGAATCTGTCTTGCTGGCTTGTCCGCCTGTTGCTTTTACCAAGAGCTACAGTTAAACGGTGGCTGTATCATGTATGGGAAGTATACAACCGCAAAAATGGAAGAATGCTTACTCACCGATTTTCATGATAAGACTCAGACGAATCAATTCACAAAGATGGTGTCTATTTGTATGTCCATGGAGTTTCGGAGCTTCGGAGCTTCGGGGAGAAAGTGCCATTGTGGGATCGCCCTTGGACTTTCGATGATCTCCACAGACGACACACTTTCCGTCGATCTTGAGAGCTCTTGAGAGCTAAGACTGCTTGGCTTGTTTGGCCTCGTCTCGATTGTGAGGACCTGCTATCATTGGCTGAGGCCATAGCTGTCACTCCACATAGCTTCATCTTCGGCTTCCTTCCTTGACCATGGAATGAAGAAGGCAGTCTTGCCCCGCGGATGAATGTTGCTTATCAATATGAAGTTCTGGATATGGCTTCTAGTATTGTAAGTAGGGTATCAGAGGTATAAAGACAGCGGTGGAAGTGTATTTTATCCTTAACCTCGCCAACAGCATCATCCACAAGAGCAATCATCTACATTACAGGCCTTCTCTTCTCTCTGACACGCATTTCGATCACAGTCTTGATTCACTTCCAACCGGATCCCACAGTCTCTTTTCCTCTCATCTGACTTCGCAATGGCTTCATTCACCCTCTACACTCACGCCGGTAAGACTTCCTCCCAATTGACTTGGAGCTCGCTAATGAATGCCTGTAGGCCCCGGCCCCAATCCTGTCAAGGTGGCCATGGCCCTCGAGCACCTCGGACTGGATTACGACTGTGTTCCTCTCGGATTCGGCAAGGGCAAAGGCACCGTCAAGGATCCCGAGTACACCTCCAAGGTCAACCCCAACGGCCGGGTCCCCGCCCTGATCGACCATGAAAATAACAACTTCACCGTCTTTGAGAGTGCCGCTATCTTAACATACCTGGCTGACAAGGTACCTACCCTCATTATCCCCTATAACTCTAAATAGCCAGCTAACAACTACCTCAGTACGACCCCAGCGGCAGACTCGCCGGCAACACCGTTGAAGAACGCGCCACCGTCAACCAATGGCTCGCCTGGCAGGTATCCGGACTGGGCCCCTACCAGGGTCAACTGGTCTGGTTCCTCATCTTCCACGAGGGCGCCCACGGCGAGAAGCCCAACAGCTCTGTGACATCGCGCTACCAGGCCGAGGTGGAGCGTCTGCGGACCGTGCTGGAGACGCATCTTGCCTCCGCGAAGAACGGGTTCGTTGCGCTGGGCCGGCTGACCATCGCGGACTTTGCCATCTTCCCCTGGTTGAAGGGCTCAGTGCTGGCTGGGTCTGCACTCAAGCCCTTTTCGGAGTACCCGGCTATTGAGACTTATATCAAGAAGCTGGATGCGCTGCCAGAAGTGCAGGCTGCTTACAAGAAGGCTGTGCCTCCTATGCAGTAGTTCAGCTGTGTAAAGACCTGTATTTCATTAGAAAATACGAGGCTGTACTGCCTTTTTCTCATAGTTAAACTTCAAAAATGCTACATACTTAATTAGCCTTATTGACCCTCACGGATCCGGGAGCGACCTTCCCAGTGTGGGCTACTTTAGTGTGGAGGGGTACAGTCAACCGACCAACAGAAGAAAAACCACTAACCACAGAGTAACACAGAATTAACCCTTCTTGGACCGTCAGAGACTAAACTGTCAGCAAATCCGAGGCTAACATCAGCACTACATATCCTTCCAGAGGCTTAGATGGAGTCACGGGGCGTCTACAAAACTCCACGGACTTTCGGTCAATTTTTCACTGTCAAATCTCACTCTTGTCGCAGGCAGTCATTCGGCCGAGGCAAATCCCTTAGGACTTGTCCAGGCCCTCGGAAGCGATTACGAGTTACGACTCTTTTAGCCTCAGAAAAGTATAACTACGGAGAAGCCCCAAGACCGACATCTGACGTTAATAGCGCTGCTTCCTCCTCAGCCTCACTTAGACCACTTGGAATATCTTAATCCTCCATTGTGTTAGCAAGTAGAAATAGAATAAAGTGAAATGCCGACCCAGCACCGCATCCTCTCGCTTGTCTACAACGACTTCGAAGCCCTTGATCTCTTCGGCCCACTGGGCGCCATCATCCCCCGCAGTGACTACTACACTCTTGAGCTAGTCAACCTGCACAACCTAGATTCGCCACATGGCATCGAAACTTCCATAAAGAACGGCATCGGCGTCATCCCAACTCTCTCACTGGCCGAGGCCCTCAGGGAGGACCGCCAGTTCAACACCCTTTTCATCCCAGGCGGCTTAGGCATGATGCCTTTGGTCTGGGACCCGATCCTGCTGCAGCGCATCGGGCAGCTGGTCGACCGCGCCGCCAATGTTTTTACCGTGTGTACCGGGTCCATCTTGCTGGCTGCGACTGGCCGGCTGGACGGGCGGAAGGCGACGACGAACAAGCGGATGTACGATGAGCTGACTCCTAAGCGTATGATATGATGGCCCCGTCTGGCTCTGGGAGCTTAAGCACATGCTAATTGATCGATCCGCTAGACCCCGGTGTCCAATGGCAGAAGCGTGCACGCTGGGTGCAGGACGGGAAATTCCTGACTTCCTCTGGTGTCACGGCCGGTATCGACGCGGGCTTTGCTTTCCTGGCTAGCACGTATGTTGCGCCCGAGGACCGCCAGGCTCATCCCGAGGCTCAAAAGTCGTCTCCCCAGGGAGAGGAGACTCCCATTCCGGGTTTCAGCAAGGAGAAAGCTTTGCGTCATGCTCATTTCGTTGCCTTTGGGTTGGAATATCGCTGGCACTCGGATCCTGCAGATGATCCCTTTGTAGATGTGCCCGGAACAGATGGCAACGCATAGATAAACCTTCTGTGGCGTTGGCTATTTTATTTGATTCCTCAATGAATTCAAAGAACATGCTAGTGTACCTTTTCCATGCAGAGATAAACTTCATGACTGTACGGGGCTGATAAAGAAGGAAGGAAATAGGAAAAAGTGGATTACCTAGCGTCCCATGGAAGCCATAGGCCCATCAGCCATGGCATAATAGAACTCGGCGGCAACGTAGGCATCAGCGCTCGAAGGAGTCGTGGTGGAGTGACTCCCTCCATTCATTCCAATCAGTTCAGTCTGCAGAGAGGAAGGAGACGTGTGATTCACACGAGTTCCAGGAGTACTACTATACGAGTCGGCAAATTGAGAAGTTCCCGCCTCAAGGGGGCCAGGCGGGTCCCGCAGAGTAGCAAACGAGACCTCCTTAGCGTGACCATCAAATGGTGGCGGGGGAAAGTCCAAGAATTGCCAAAAATTAGGACTAAGACCATTGGACAGAATCGGCAGCACGTCCAAGTCAGGGAACCCATCAGCGACGTTGGCAAAAGGCATCGACACATCAAACGGCGAAAAGCCGTCCACGGGGGCCTGCTGCTCTTGCACAGATGCGGTGGCAGATTCGGCCCTTCCGCTCAACGCTTTAATAATATCAGCAACCTTGAGCCTTAGGGAGCTTTTCGCGCTACTGTCGGAGTCCTCTTCTTCCAGCTTCATCAAGGCTTCCAGAACAACAACACTGCGCTGAGCAGCAGACCCTTTGACTTGTTCCAGGTGCAGATCGTCTTCCCCTTCTGTGATGCTCTTGGTCCGTAATAATTCGATCGCTTCCCTGATCTTGTCACGAGTCATCAATCGGCTGAGGTGCGCACTGGCGCTATCCGCATCCACTTGCTTAGGTGTGAAGATCAGGTCAAAAAGCAAGACAACGGCCGCGTTGAATAGCTGGGTTTCGCTGGTCGACAGTGTGCTACAAACAGCGCATCGCGCCTGGATCTGAGTCTGGGTGCCGATGATATTTTGGGCCAGAAGCTGACAGGAAGCACGACCAATTGGAGAGGAGAGATTGGCTTGATGCATTCGCAGGAGTAAGCTCCACAGTTGTTGGTGCAACATCCATCGTTGCATGGGGATCGCAGCCATTGGACCGGTAGCAGTGAGTCCTACAGTGCTTCCCAATCGAAAATATGACGGCAGACCAGCCACGTACTCTTCATACTTATTGTTCAGATGTTTGCGCAACTTGGCCGATTCAGTAATCGCATCGGGCTGCTGAGTTGCTGATCCCATTAGATTGATAGATTCGCGTACAATGGTGGCGAGTTCGTGGGCGTGGACAGTATACGACAGCATCGTGAACTCGGAACGGGGCCGCTCTGTGATTTCGCCATTGACCCTTACCCTCCACGTCGACAGATAAAGATCATCATCATTGATGTGCAACGGCATCTGAGTGGTGAATTGCGATGGATGCACAGTGTAGTAGCCGAGGGCTTGACCGCGCGACCAATCTCTTTGTACAAGTGCCCACCTATGTGACATTATTAGAGCTTGACTCAAGATCATTCTGTCCAGGTACCTTACCAAATGCGAATGCCTATTTCTGTTTGAATATGTGGCTGTTCCGCCGCGGATGACGTGTCGTTTTCTAAGGGTGCAGAGTGTGATGTAGAGGTGTCTAACTTGATATCACCCAACTGGTGCAAACCAAGTTTGCGGGCTCCAGAAATCGCAGTGACTAGAATAGCATCCAGCGCCAACGAGCCCTCCTGGCCGTCAAGTAAAAGCATAACCGCCGCCTGTAAACTGGCGATTGAGCCACAAAAGAGAGACACTCCATCCTGGAGACAGCGCAAGCTCAGCGATCTCCATGTCTTGGAGTGTAAACCGGATGATCTAAACTCCTCCATATATAAAGCTAAAGACGTAGGAGTCCAACCTAGTAGAGACGGCGTCGGATGAAAAGTGAGACCGAGTACTAGCTTAGGATCAAATAATAATGTGAGCAGAAGCCTTCGGTGCAGAGTATACTACACGTACTGCTAAGAGGAAACAGCCCAGTGTCTCCATAGAAACTGTACTGGATATGGCCAAGACCCATGAGTCTGGTGAAGCAAGACTTAAGCAGTTGTGGAACTGTTCAGCTTGCTTCATGAAGGTTGGGGTGTGGACCACATTCCCCAAGGGACCTTGGCAACAGGTGATAAAGACTTCAAAAAGAATATGAATCATCTCTAGCTCTGGCATCGCATCGACAATCTCTCGGATTAAGGTGAGCCTTTCACCGTGTCGCTTGGGGTCATTACTCGACTAATACCGGTTCGGAAAGTCTGGCGCCACTGACGATGGTGTTAGTCCAAAAACACCAGGCAGACATGCATTTGGACGAGGAACTCCTTTGATGAAATGCTCCAAAAGTAGTGCTGTCTCCTCTGCTTCGGCTTCACCGTCCTCATTCGCTGGTTGATTACTGATAAATTAAGGATCAGTTGATAGCTTTTAATAACCAAGCGATGACAAGCTTTACTCACTTCTTGGCGGTGGTCTTGTCTTTGTGCTTAGTTTTTGACCGTTTGGCTCTCGGTTGACGCTCATCTTTGATGCAAAGATGGCCGACGTTACGCTTGACATATTCCATCTGTGAAGAGAATATGAGCCTCCAGCCAAAAATAGAGGAATTGCAAGGAGGAAACGTCAACTGACACATGGTTCTTTGCGGTCACATTTTAGCTTGGAGGCCCTACATTGAGAACACGAAAGCGTAAACTTGCGTACACCAGAGTCCGGCCCGACGGTGGCCCGGCTGCGGTTTGCATCAACCATTACTACTATTGTTGTGGTTGGTTGGATGAATACAGGACCTGTTTAAATCAGGGACAAGATTGTGGGCGGAGGTTTTGCTCTGCAATCTGGCTGTACTCGCTGGCTTACGCGCCGCTCTTGCTGACTGCCAGTAGGCAAGCCAGAGTCATTGCCCCACTTTGGCACCGTAGCCCACTTTGATTATCTTCTGTAACAACTGGATAGAGGCCTAGAGCAAATGCACTGAACGCACTCTCAATGGTTCTTTGTGTTTCTGGAAGCGAGATGGGGCGCTGGACAATGAACTGGTTGGCTGGGTGACTTGGGGCCACGTGATCCCTTGCTTGCATGCCGCGTATGGGCCGGGCCATGTCAATAGTTATACTGCACATCCAAAGACCTTAATCGGTTACTTTATACTCCTTGTCGCAGTTTGAAGAACTTAGAGAGACATGTGCTTTGAAGCAAGTTGTTCTCATGTCCCAATTCACCTTTGCTCACTTGTGGGTCGTGCGAGGGATAATAAGATGTAAAATATATGTGAAAGGATTCGGCTCATACGTCGGTCAACAATGATTATGTAGCTTCGAACGACTGAATATTCAACTCTGATCAATATTGCTACCATTGATCGTAGTTTTGGAGAGGTTTCTCTGCATTGCTTGATGTTGACGGCATCAAGTTCCGCTTCGATCCCTTCCAATTCATGACAAGTCGGCCACCGTGAGCACTGGCGTGTGCATCTAAATTAAAATTTCTTCTTGTTAGCGAGTACCGGTCCTTGTATACTTTCTTGATTATGACTATAGACCACTTATATCCCAATTAATGACCTTGCTTTATTAAATAGAGTCTTCATCTTCAAGTTAATCCCTTCCCTTCTCAAGACAGACACAATACCCGAGGACAAGTTCTTAGCCGACACAGAAGTCTCAGTAAAAGACACTGACATATCGCACACCACACTCCTTCGAATAATGCCCAGTCAGCATCCTAGGCTTATATCCCTGCTTGGTCATGCTGTTGAAAAACGTCTTGTATCCCTCCGCACTGTCATAATCCTCATAATACCAAAGCTGAACACCGTAGCCCGGGCCCGTATACCTCTCCCAAACCGAATCAAAAACAGGCTCCCCGTTCACCGAATGCGCATGAAGATACGTGGGTTTCCATTCGCTAGGATTCTCCTTCAAAACACTGGTCTGATTAACAAAGTAGAGCCACTCTCCCTTCCAGTCGGAGGACGTGCGCTCCCCCCAGGTGGCCGAATAGCGCAGTTCCTTGTTGATCGTGTAGCCGCTGAGCGAGGTGAGACGCAGGGGCGCCAGGTCGGCAACCTTTTCCTTGAGTTGGTCTCTTGTCAGATCCACCGCCTGTTTCCACACCCCGATGGAAGATTTCTCCCAGATTGTAGTGAACCGTCGTTCGCCGTTTGGGAGGTTATACCCGTTGAGGACGACGGGATGGTATTTCTTGCCGCGGAGCTCGGTGGAGAGATCGTTGTACTGGGTAGCTGTGAGGCCGTGTCGACTGATCCAGGGAACGGTGGAGGTAGCGCCTGTTTTCTCCCAGATGCTGGAGAAGAGAGTCTGGTTTTGTTCCGGGGAGTAGTACCCGTTGACGTAGGTGAGCCTGTATCCGGCGTGGGTGAGAGCCTGGAATTCTGCTTCGTGGGCAGTACCGTTGATTCCCAGTTCGTAGTGGAAGAGCTTGGACACATCTGCTGCGTAGGCTTGGGCAGCCAGAAGTATGACCGTCGTCAGTAGCTTGGAGAGCATTCTGCCGTGGGATTTGTATTGGATGATTAGGGGGTTCGTATTAGCGGATTATTATACAGATTTTCCTTTAAAAGAAAACAAAAGAGTGACAAGAATGTATGAAAAGAGTGACAAAAGAATGACAGAAAAGAATCTGTCCCTAAGGAATGGCCATTCAAAGTTGGATTGATAAAGCAAAGTTGAAGCTGAGGGTATCCCCTATTAGCAATATATCTTCGTCCTTGTTTTTTGGAGCGTCACAGTGTACTCTGTGCTCGGTCTATTAATAATAATATTACGAGAAAGCTAACTAAAATGGGGGTTAAAATGCGAGTGGGATCAAGCTATATGGTGAGTCTCCCCAGTAAGTAGAGTCGATCTCTCCTTGGCGCCATCAAGAATACGAGATAAGGGAGCTGATTGCTCCTATGGAGTTTTTTGGTTAGGCAGATTGCATGTAGTCCTATGTATCTGGCAGGGAGTTGAACCCTATGAAGGCTGTTAATATGGAGCTATTGCACCTTCTGCTGATCTCTCCTCCCTGACTTTGAGAGCCCCCCTGGCCTTCCACTCCTGGTCTTGATATCTAGAATGAAGCCTAGACATCCAACCTGGTTATTGCTGCTCCACCGTAGGACGCCTATCATTCAGATTTATGTCATTCTGAGGCACCTTCTCGCTTCCTTACTTTTTTCATTCCCCCTTCTTTGCGCCTAGCCCGCTGGCAGCAGATACAGCACAATCGCGCAGCACAATGACCTATCCAGCACTTACTCGTAATGGAACGTGAAGCGCCATTCAAAAAACGTAATTTGTAGGTGTAGCAGGTGGCTGGTATGAAATTGTTGGATTCCCAATTTCCGATCTATGTAGACTAAGAAGTTGACTGATATGCTAGCACACGAATGCGGCTTAAAAGCATGTACTGACCAAGCAGTAGGGTGACCTTGCAATGAATGCAGACATAAAGCACTCATCAAATCTCAACTTTACCACCGTCATCCTTTCTAGCTTTCTCACCATCATGAACTGGAAACACGGCAGGAGATTAATCGGGTGATTCAAGGTGGCATATACCCTTGCTGAACAACTCTGTCCACTTTTTGGCACAGTGGCGAAGGCTCATGTCTGAAAAGCCCAAAGTTCGGTTAGTAACCAGGTAGTTGTGAATTTTCGCCGACTGGATAGTCCCCAATCTCGATTGAACTTCAAAGAGATCTCGCAAGGTCAAAAGTTCAGAGACACACTATGCGTGCGGCAGCTCTTAGACGTCATCGAAGACTCAACAGACAACGATACGAATCATGGAATAGTGTGACTTCCTGAAACTCTGTGAGAAGCCCGTTAAAACGGACGTCTGACTACTTTGGTTTCGACGGAATCCGAAAAATTATGTGGGACGTCCTTAAAGGCAACCAGGAGTTACATGCAGAGGGGGTCATCCAATGAGATTCGCATTGAAGTCATTTCACTTTTGATGTCTTGAAGCTCTGACGAATGACCCTCAGATACCAAAGCTCAAAATATTCTGCTGGATGGGAGGTCAGCTAAATTATTTGATCTGGGATCTACATGGTCTGGTATGCTTTGAATCATTGCCGACAGCGACAGCTGGTGCCAATTTAGGACGAATAATAGCTTCACCTCTTCTCTCGAACAGTGATATCCGACTGGGCGATGTGGTAATTAGTCAACCACACGCTAGACATGGTGGAGTGGTCCAGTATGACTTCGGCAAGGCCACACCGGGCGTGTTCAAACGAACAGGATTCCTTAATTCACCGCCCACAGTCCTACTACAAGCCCTTACCAGGTTACAAGCCAGGCAGATGACAGGTAGTGTCGACATCTCAGCTCATTCATCTCGATTCGGTTATCTACCGATATTTGCTCGTCATCAAGCGGGACCCGATCTACTTTTTCAATCGAGTTATCAGCATGTTGGAGGCTCGACATGTGAGAAATGTGACGAGAGTTATCTCGTCAAGAGGCCCGCTCGGGAAGCAGAGATTGTGATTCACAGTGGGACAATCGCGTCAGGTAATCAGGTTATTAGGGAAAGCGATACACGGGATAGAATCAGCTCGGAGTTAGACGGCGTGCTTTGTTTCGAGATGGAAGCGGCGGGACTGATGCATTCATTTCCGTGTCTCGTAATCCGGGGGATTTGCGATTATGCGGACACACATAAGAACAAAGGCTGGCAAGCTTATGCAGCGGCGACTGCCGCTGCTTGTGCTAAAGAGATCTTGTCACATATTCCCAGCGCGGATGTTGCTCGATCAAGTACAGCCAGGAGGATTGTTCAAGACAGTGTCGATCAGGACGTCAAGGCGTCAACCGAACCGATGCCTCCTTGTTACAACACAGCACCAAGTGACAGGTCTAGTAGGCTGATAGGTTATGATGATTGCTTGAACGATATTGAGGCAGGCCTGCGGAGTGGGATTTGGTCTGAGGTTATCATTACAGGAGAAAGGGGCAGTGGGTAATTATTTCGCATTGCATCTTTGACAGAGACGAGCTCACCTTGTGTATTTTCAGGAAATCACGGGTCCTGGCCAAAATAGCGGAGGCATTCGTGGGCACCCATTCGATATTCTGGTTCTCCGCTAAAACACCCGAAGCATTTCAAAACCGTTTTAACCAGGCTGCGTTAGCAATTAGATGTGAATCCGGTAATAGTAATAAACACCGGTGGGATTCCGTGTCAGAGATGCACTTATGGCTGTCAGAACCTGCTCATGGCAAATGGCTTGTTCTTTTGGATGACGTCTCTGCAAACTTAGGTTTGCTACAGATAAAGAAGTTTTTCCCAGAAAATCCTTCAGGTTGCTTGATAATCACCAACAACTTCAGCACCTGTGGCAATTTGAAAGGGGTTCGCCGATTTATTCCTAAACTGCCACTACAAAAGGCTCTTGAGCTGTTCTTGTCCATCCACAGCCATGTCGACGACGAAATGGTGCCTGCTGTTTCACGTCTTGTGGAAGCAGTCAATTTCCACCCATTCGGTATAGCCCTCACAGCTTCATTCCTACGGCTGCATGCGGGACAGTCTGTTGATGACTACTATCGGGAACTACAACAATTGAAAGCAAAGACCAGCAATCATGAAGGCATTCCACCAGAAATTTCGATCCCACTTTCGATACACTTGAAATCTCTGGAAAATACGCCCTCTGGTCGTTTATTGACATTATTTGCTCTGATAGATGCTGATCGGATCACGGAGAAGTTTCTGAGAGTCAGTCAAAAAGCGGTACCGACTAGTTCTCGGGAAAATCGGTTGTCCTGTTTCACCTCCGCTGAGTTCCAACCAGCAATGACGACACTCAGATCACTGTCACTATTAGAGAAGGCAAGAGACGCCGATGGAGGTTACTTCAAGGTTCCTAAGTGCGTGGGAGAGTGTGTGCTTCATAGGCTGCGCGAAGATTCGGCAAATTTCCAGACCGCGGTTGAAACGGCCACTGCCTGGCTGTATTCGATCATCGCCTCAAACAATATCAATACAGTGGAAGCTCTAAATATCGCCGTACCATTGATTGGACAGCATTATATCTCTCTCAGTAAACACTCTTGCGGAAGAGACTTGTGTCCGAGTCAAAGATTCCAGTACCTCGGAACACTAGTTTCTCTTTACCATCTTCGAAAAGCAGCAAGTTTAGGTTTCATGGTCTGCTTGAAAAGGTCATTCCGAGCATGGCTATTACGAAATCGGGAGCTATCTGGAGAGGACTCTATTGACCCTTCGCTCTATGACGAAATACCACCGTCAATTCCACATCCAAACGAAAAGACTTCACTGTGGCAGGGAACCGAAGCAAAAGTCGCAGGACCAGTATCGTCCGTTCTCTGGAAGAATGTCGAAGGCCTAATGATCGTCTCCGCCATATCACGTGCATGGTTTACAATTAAAGAAGACATGCTAGCCATAGCAAGGAGATCAGCAGGAAGGTATGCCGGTGCAAAGGCTGACGATGTGGAGGACCGAGTCGATAAAGCCGCTCATGAGGCAATCACTGGAGTCGTCGTAGGGGCAACGAACGATTATGTGCGTATGGCTGCAGAATTTGGTTCTGGTTCCGGAACGATGGAACTACCCGACTTGGTCGCCCGGGCGGTTACATATGGTCTGGATGACTGCGCCGATATCCGCGCATTTTCCGAAGATGACCTTGTCAGCATCATATCTGATGCAATATCCAGTGATATGTTCTCGCTCACGTGGCTAGCGGGCTGTGCCTGGGCTTCAGTGCTGGAACGGCAGAAACATAGAATGGCCGTTGTGTTGGAGTCTCTGGTTCAGCAGTCTACCAATCTTGAGGCTCTGAGCGACACCGCACGGTTCACTATCGAGCAGCTTTCAAAGCGAGGTATTCAGGATTATGTCGGCGAAATAATAGAAGCTACTTGGGAAGCTATTGACAGCGCAAGATGCTGGGTTGCCGTCATCATCAGACAAGGACTTGGCCTGGCAATGATGTCACGTATGGCCAAGTCCGCAGAGCCTTATTCTCACGAGAACTTCGGCTCCCTGAGAGTGTTGGTATATGACAGTATGGAGCTACTTGCCGGAGCATTCTCGGTGATATCATCTGAATATCCGCCCAACTGGGAATGGGCTGCTTTGATGAGGAGCATCGCCCATCACTTTCGAGCAGCCGAGCAAGGAACACAACTTACCGACGTAGCTGGAATAACCCCAGAGGTTAAGTTTTGAGCCTTACCGGAATATAATGAATGGTCTGATTTCTATCACATTGAACGTGGCAATGGGTGACTGGTGACTCTATATATGTGTTAGATTTGCTAGATGAAAAGAGATGGTTTCTTGCGTGTCCTGGATGTCTTGTGTTGGTTGTTCTAAGTCAGAGGCCCTGAAGAGGACATTCTGCTCGGCCTATCTAAATGCTGTCTAATCTAACACTCCCTCAGCTTCGCCTTCGGCTTCAGCTGACATGAAATTAAACGATATCCAATATCACCCATATACGCCTTCAATGAGTTGTGATCGAGCTCTTCTTGTTGCTGGCTTTGTATAGCCTCTCGTTCCGTGATCTTCTTGGCTATATCAACCACTAGGGGTTTTGCAGGGTCAGTAGCTTGAACGAGACGCACAATCTCAATATCATCCTACTATTAGGAGTATTAAAAATGAGCATCTACGGAAAGGGTACCATCTAATAATCCTTGGAGTGTGGCTGAATGCTAATATCACATCATCCATAAGCTTTCTTCAGTGCATACTTAACCGTACGGTTGGTAACCCAAAGTCTAAAAAATATGTTGCCATTCAGATCACAGTCACAACTGGTGGTCAGTGGATTGATAAGAAAGTAAGATCCTCTGTTAACCAGGTATTGCAGGATTAAAAGCAAAAATTACATGTGCTGCTTCAATGAGATATTTCACATTCTTCAGCCACTCGTCTCAGTTTTGGATGGTAAACGCGGGGGTATAGGGTGGGATAGTAGAAATCTTTAAAATCAAAACCTTTATGGTGTTCGGATTCCCCAGAAGGGTGTGGGGTTTTGACAGTTTTCACCAGTTGAGCCTGAAGGGAATCAATTTGATCTCTGGGTTGCTGCTGATATTCAAGTTGCTTGATCCTCTCTCTCGTCGCTTGGAGGTCTGCGGTAGAAGGTGCAGGTGAGACTCTTGGAGGTGTAGATAACATTTTCTCGACGATTCGAGGTTGAACCGTAGGTAAAACACTACTGACTGGCTCAGTAGGTGGAGCAACAGAGTTATGATCAGTCTCAACAGAGGCGGTTGGATGGTCGTTCGACCGAGTAGCCCTTCTGCTAACCATCTTCTCAAGGTGGCTAAAAGAAGAAGATTCAGAAATTGTGATTTAAAAGCTACTGGGCCGGCCAGGTCAAGAAGATTGTAAACAAAACGGCAGGATAATGGTGGTGAAACAGGAGGAAGTCAATTGTAGTATACATGGACTGTACAAGACTGCTCCTTGAAGAGATTCAGGATAGAACCCCCGTTCAAACCCCTTTACCTTCAAGCTCTCTCTGTCAGATTCCATGACGTCCTTGAGGTGGGAGAAACCCCCCATGAGAAAGCTTTCTGGTTCACCCCGGAACCGGAGGGTGTTCGACTGGGTCGGATGGATCCCTGTAAGGACCACTTGACTGTCCACTTCCATATTTTCGTTCATACCAAGTATCCTTATATATCTATGTTTTCCTACTCCTCGATATGCGCCGGGGGTATATTTAGGAGCAGGTATACTTTTATATATCCCCAAGAGGTAGCGAGCTATTCTATTGGGTTGTAGGCAACCATCGGCAATACTGTTATGAGGTTTCTGCCATGAAGCTATTCCCATATGTAGATGCCTTATAGCCTTGCAGGGGTGTAGCCTTCTAGCGGTGAACACGCCAACCATTCGGTGGCGTAGCTGAAGGGCCACCCTGCATGGGACCACGTCAACAGGTTACACAGCCTCATATTCACTCTATGTTCTCATCTTCTGGTCCTTGCACCTCCTTCCTGTTTCATTGAGAGACTGTGTATATAAGATTACATTATAAAGCTACATAGGCACAGTACTACTATAGGACAAAATGGATTCTATATCAAATTTTATTCCAATAATATGCTCTTTCAAAACCTACGAAGGGTTAGCAGATACGCTATTCATCGCTAGAATACAGGTTCAGTTGAGAAAACGCTATCCGGACCACTGCATCTGGCAGTAAGTGTCGCTATTTTTAGCAGTAGCGACAGTGAGGGGGTAATAGGTAGTGTCTGGGTACCTTATGCTTTGAGACACCGTTGAGCGGTAGAGCCCTGCCAAGGACTCTGGGAAATTACACTTGACTTTGACGCAAAAGGGGCAGTTAATCAGCGAAGCAGGAAAAGAGAGTACAACAGCTTCCATGGCGAGTGGTAAGTGCCAAGTGCCGCTGGCAAGTCTAGGCTGGGGCGACTCCCTCATCAAGATAAGCGCAGCCTCATCCGTCAATGGGTCTTACAGATAGCTTAGGATAACACTTCAATCGAGTCCTTCCTTACTGAGTAAAATCGAAGCTAGTATTTGACAGGATGCCGGATAAATAGAATAATAGGCTAAATAGTACCATGGCTTACAGCTTATATGCCTGTCTATATACCCCGGACTTGTCGGAGGCTGTGTAATCCTGGACTAGGACCAATCCGCGTGAAGCATCGTAAGAAGGGCATAGCACTTGCTTATTAGTATAAGAGGAGGTGGGCATGCAATCCCGGCTCGTGACCCTATTTATTTCACAGGAAATCAACCTATTGTTAGGAGAATAATTATGTTCCTAGCTGGCTGTCCGGCGCCTTCGGAAACGTCGCTTTATATAAGTTACCAGACTTCGGATCTATTGGCTCATCACATCCATTTTCCACAACGTTTGCTACCTCAACAATCTCCAGAACAGCATGATGGAGATTGCATCGGAGACTACGCGTCCTGCTGGGGCGACCACGGACGTAACTGAAGAGCAGCCTGCAACTGGATATATGCAAGGATGGGCTCTCGCTTCTTTGACCTTGGCCTTTATGTCTATCTGCCTCGTGCTAGCTATTGATAATACCATTCTTGGTTCGTGCTTCTCATAATCCGGCGGAGGAAGCATCAGACCTAATTGTCATACCAAGCGACGGCGATACCCCAGATCACCAGCGATTTCAAAAGCCTCAACGATATCGGCTGGTATGGCTCTTCCTACTTGATCGCGCAGATGGCACTGCTGCCGACCTGCGGCCGCCTCTACGCATTCTATAATATTAAGTGGGTGTATTGCATCTCGCTGGCCGTCTTCGAAATCGGCTCCATCGTCTCGGCAGTCGCCCCGAATTCTATGACGCTTATCATAGGGCGAGCAATCTCTGGTCTCGGCGCTGCTGGTTTGGTGAGCGGGACGACAACTATTCTGTCTTATTGTGTGTCTCTGAAAAAGCAGGCGATGCTGTCGCCTATCGTCCTGGGCATGTACAACATTGGATCGGCCATTGGACCACTCGTGGGCGGTTCGATAACTGATAATAAGGTGCTGACTTGGCGGTTTATTTTCTGGATCAATCTCCGTAAGCCTCTATCGACGATGAAGCCCATACCCTCTCCCATAATCACTTGCTAAAAGTTTCAAGCCTTTGGAGCGGTTGCGCTGGTTCTGGTCTGGTTCACCTTAAGGAAACCACCACCAGCCGTAAAGGGGGACCTACCCTGGAACCAGAAGTTACGTCAACTTGACCTGCTAGGGGCTACTCTGTTGCTCGGTGCAACCGTGTGTTTGAACCTGGCATTACAGTGGGGTGGTATCGTCTACCCATGGTCTGATGCCAAGGTGTTCGGGTGCCTGATCGGATTCGGTCTACTCTTGATTACCTTCTTGTGCTTGCAAGTCCGAGGCAAAGAAAAGTTGGTTCCTTCTCTTGCAAATTCAGTCCCTACTTAAAGGCTACTTATCCAGTATGCTTGCTAACTTCAACCCAAGCTCGAATATCCCTCTTCGCATCTTTGGAAGTCGTACCGTATCGGCATCATGTGGCTTCATGATGCTCGTTCAGGTGGCTATAGTAGTGCAATCGTACTTTTGGCCCATATATTTCCAGTCGGTCAGGAACACCAATGCCAGAGACTCGGGGATCAATCTACTCCCATTGATTGTGTCGAACAGCCTCGGCACAGTCTGCGCGGGCTCTATAGCTGCGAGATTCGGGCACTATGTACCGTTCATGTGGTTCGGACCTCTCGTCTTGGCTACCGGAGGGGGTTTGTATCAACTAGTCCGTGCCGACAGTCCGCTGGGACAATGGATAGGGTTCCAAATCCTGTCTGGGCTTGGCTATGGCATCTGTAGCCAAATGCCGATCCTGGCAGTGCAGGTTGTCCTCAGCAAGCCAGACATACCAACGGGCCTTGTCATGATCATGTTTTTCCAGATTCTTGGGGGCGCACTCGCTCCTAGCGTTGGGCAGAACCTCTTCACGGATGGGCTTCTGCGAAATCTCAGCAAGGTGCAGGGATTAGATGGTGCAGCCGTAGTGGCGGCCGGCGCAAGTGGTTTCAGGGAGATAGTTCCTCCCGAGCTGATGAATGCCGTCGTGGATGCATTTAATTCTGCTTTAAAGAACGTGTTCTGGGTGGCACTTGCTACGCCAGCCCTTGCTTGGATAACAAGCTGGGCAATGGAGTGGCGGCAATTGCCTGACTCTAAGAGACAGGTTACCCAAACGCCAGCCCAGGACGACGTGGAGAAATAGCTTGATAGCAATGACACGTGGCCTGGGGCTTAAGGGGAGTGTGCCATGAACCCGGCTTCGACAGTGAATATGCCCAGCTCGTCGCATGGTAATCAATAAAGGACGAAACCAAGCAATACCTAGGCGGCGATCCATCGGGAGAGAAGAGGTGGAGCGCCCCGGACCTATGCCAGTACTTAACAGGAAACTCGCAATGGATGCCCAGGCAGATTTGCGTAGAGGCCTGCACTCTACCCACGGCAGGCTGGTGCTTATGCCAACGACTAGAATCGGATGATAGGTAGAGCTTCCGATTCGCTGCTGGGCGCCGACTGCGCATAGAAACGTGCGGTAGGGATGCCGGGTAGGTTCCGGCAACTGGTGACTCCGGTGGCGTATATTTTGCCTGTTGTGTGTTCTCCCCTGGGTAGGGCCCTCACGGTTTGGTTCAATGGCCCGGGTCTGGGGATCCAGCTCATTCCGGCCCGTGGG